ACAGGTTCTCCACATCATAATAACACCACCCATGAAGGTACACATGATCCAGACAGGAGCTACAGTGTACCACCTCACACATCTCGCGCAGTTATCGCCAGAAGAAAAACTCACACACCAAACTGCATGCATGAGGAAAGAGAATAATAAATAACAGGGAAGAATTGTGTTGGTGAAGGTCAGGCACAAGTTGCAAGGTATGCATGCTTGCCATGGCCGTCATGCTGGCGCCTCACGCACATCACCAAACCTGATTAATTTAAGCAACATGGCTCCTGCATGGTGATGGGCTCTTGACCTCAAAGAATTGCAGCTACGATGCCTGTTTTAGGATCCACTCTTCTTGTCTCCCATTCCCCAGCTATTGTGTGACCCCGTACAAACTTAGCACCCCATTGTCTTTTTATTTTATTTTTTTAGCTTACAGATTAAATATAAATAACTAGATGCTATCTCCTTTCTAGCATAATACCCCTCAAGGAAGGTTCCTTGATGTTGGTGAGGGGCTCTTGATTTAGGAAATTGGATCTGTGCTCCAGTTCCCCGAATTAAGCCTGAATACCTTCCACATCCCCCCCCCCAGGCGCTGTATAATCCTCCGGGTTTAGCGCTTCCCCCTTGATTATAATAATAATAATCTAGCATAATAATAAGGTATTAAAGGACCGAAATGGAAATAAGTCACTGAGTTTTTTGGGGTTATCCCAGGTTCTCTACACATGTGCTGTTATGTGTGATGATCAATGTAACTGTATTTGTGTATACCTGAATATTATTATAATAATCAAAAAGAAGCGCTAAGCCACAAGGGCTATACAGCTGTGTATACCTGAATAAACTTACTTATGACTGTAAAATAATAAGCAGCGAGGCTTATTATTATAATCAATGGGAAGCGCTAAACCCGGAGGATTATACAGCGCCTGGGGGGGGGATGTGGAAGGCATTCAGGCTTAATTCGGGGAACTGGAGCACAGTTCTAATTCCCTAAATCAAGAGCCCCTCACCAACATCAAGGAACCTTCCTTGAGGGGGCTTCTTGTTATTGCTACATCAGTTGGTCATTACGTACTTCAGTTGCTTAGCGGAGTTGAGTGGTAATTTATAATTTAAATTGTGTAATATTAAAGTGAGGTTTGTAATGGACAAAATTTTTGGGAACAAGTTGTTAAAATAAAATTGTTTTATTTTATGTTAGGTTACGCAAGAGTCGATTAGGTTAGGTTACGTAGGGTAAGGTTAGGTTAGGCTAGATAAGGTTAAGTTAGGTTAGGCTAGATAAGGTTAAGTTAGGTTAGGTTAGATAAGGTTAAGTTAGGTTAGGTTAGATAAGGTTAAGTTAGGTTAGGTTAGATAAGGTTGTTAGGTTAGACTAGATAAGGTTAAGTTAGGTTAGGCTAGATAAGGTTAAGTTAGGTTAGGTTAGATAAGGTTAAGTTAGGTTAGATAAGGTTAAGTTAGGTAAGGTTAGATAAGGTTAAGTTAGGTTAGGTTACGTAGGGTAAGGTTAGGTTAAGTTAGATAAGGTTGTTAGGTTAGGTTTGGTTAGGTTACGCAAAGTAAGGTTAGGTTAGGCTAGATAAGGTTAGGTAAGGTTTGGTTAGGTTAGATTTGGTTAGGTTAGGTTTGGCTAGATAAGGTTAGGTAAGGTTAGGTTAGGCTACATAAGGTTAGGTTAGGTAGGGTTAGGTTGGGTTATGTAAGGTTAGGTTAGGTCAGGTTAGGTTAGGCTAAATAAGGTTAGGTTAAGTTACGTAAGGTAAGGTTAGGTTAGGTCAGGTTCTCACCCAACTAACCAAACCAACTGAACCGAAGCTAAACATATTGTAACCTAATAAACAATTGTTCAACATTGGTGCTCATATTGGTAACTGGGGAATCATTGTGGGGGCCCGTGGCCTAGTAGGCAAAGCTCTCGCTTCACACGCTGATGTCTGGGTTCGATTCCCGAAGAGGGTAAAAACATTAGGCGTGTTTCCTTACACCTGTTGCCCCTGATCACCCATCAGTAAAATAGGTACCTGGGTGTTAGTGGACTGGTGTGGGTCGCATCCTGGGACAAAATTGACCTAATTTTCCAGAAATGCTCAGCGTAACAAGCAGTTTACTATATAGTAGTATGTCATTGATGTCAGCTACAGTTTGTATGCCTTGTACACGTACTGGTAGAAGTAAAGATATTATTATTATTATTGCACACTGCTAGAAGCACTGACCTTCACAAAAGTCGCTAATTATGTCGTAAAACGTCAAGTCATATTACTCCGTAAATACTAGCGCGCCATACGTATTTATGAGCAATGCTACTGGAACCTGAATGCTAGTCGCTGATTGGTCCAGTGCGTGATAAACTACATGCAGTTTTCCTCTCCTAAAAATAGTTGTGTGGCTAATATCTAATAAAATAACAATTTACGCAAGAAGTAAATATTTGTGCCTGGGGTTTGAATATGTTACTCATACGATAAAAATAAGTATGTGGCTGTGTTCTGGCGAGCATTTAAAGTAAATGTTGATGAAGATTTAGACACATGTGCAACTCACACTTCAACATTACTATTATTTTTTAGCATCGCTATAATCATTAAAAAGGGCTAAATTCGTAGGGGCCATACATTGCATGGAAACCGGGAGGTAATAGGGTTTGATCCAAGGGAGGGTAGCACCAATTCTTTGGATGAAGAGCTCTTCCCCAGCATCAAGGCACCCCTCTCCCCCTCTATTGAAAGAATCACTATTTTACTCCTTTCCTGTAACTAAATAACAGGTAATCAGTCACATTACACAAACAACAGTCAAATCTTGAAACTGGTATAAAATACCAACATGTTGACGAGTAAGACATATTGAAACGTTTCGCCTACACGGTAGGCACGGTAGGCTTCTCTACTCAATGCTGCATGACCCTTGTGGGTTTAGAGCTTAGTTTCGATTGTGATGATAATAATAATAATAATAATTTTCAGTCAAATACAGAGGCAGTAGCTGTAGTAGCAAAATTGATGGACTGATTACATCATCTTAACTTCGCTACTACACCTGTTCTCTCTCTCTTTGACTGAAGCCTGCTGTGTAGGCGATACGTATAAACATTAAAGATACCCAACTGTTGCACGTGTCTTAATCGTCAACAGTCATATCACACACAAACAGTGAGCACAAGCAGCAATAAAGGTGTGGGTCTCCACTGTCAGTTATGGGATATACCCAAAATTTCCTCCTGGACCTACCCAGACAAAATAAAAACAGAAATGTCAAGACAATTATTATTATAACCAAAAATGAAGCGCTAAACCTACAAGGGTCATACAGTGCAAAGTAAGAGAGATCATCACAATAAACATGCAAAGCAGGACAAAACTCGTAGTATAAACTAGGCTCAGTGGCAGGTCATAAAAAAAAAATTACTTGGTGTGCTGCATATGGCCTTTGGACCATACTGTGTCTACCTCCCCATAGGCTCAACTACCCGTCTACCTCAATCTTCACCTATAGGCTCTAATATAATTAAAGAGAGCGCTAAACCGACATGGGTCATACAGCACTGCCTAAAATTAAGTAAAGTAAGGAAGGTAGGCAGCATTTGTGCCACACGATGCGTTTAAACCTCCTTGTTAGGTCAATCATTCTCACAATGGTTCTTACAATTTGATAGTCTGCATGTTGTTCTGTCCTGCTTATGCAACTATCACTTAGTTCTTCTTGTAAACACAGGCGGGTATATGCCAACTGGCACTTAGTTCTTTCCTTTTCCTTTCATATACAAGAGGGTATATGGTGCCTCAGGGTCTTCGAAGTTTGTCTCATCAAGGAAACCTTTGCATCTCCCACTTTCCAGCAACCAAATAACATCTGCAGCCAATGCTCATTTGAAGCCTTCAAGAATCTCAACAGTTATTCTGGGCCTTTTATTAAACATACAATAAGCTCATCTTAGAGTATGCAGCACCAGTATAGAAGCTGCACCTGGAAAAAACATTAAGAAATTGGAGAAAGGGCAGAAGAATGCAACAAAGCTTGCTCCTGATCTACGAGGAAAGGCAACCAGGAAAAACATGACAACAACATATAAGAAAGAAACGGGAACTCAGGGACATCGCTGGAAGTTTAGCATCACAGATGAGCCACAAGATTGTTAGGAAGTATTTCTTCAGTCTCATAGGGGCTGGGAAGTGTAATGATCTTGGTGAGGAAGTGGTAGAACCAGGCTTAATACATAGTTTTAAGAGCAGATACGATAAGGCCACCTAATCTAAAGAGCGTCACGTTGAAGAGAGGGGGGCCAGGATCCTATTATCTCCTGTAATCACGATAAGTTAGCACACACACACACACTAAGGCATCCATCTCCCTCAAGGGGTTTCAGAGGTCTAGAAAGATCGACTTGTGTAAAGCAGTGATCATAGTAGACGAATGCGATTATCGGGGAGCGATAAACCCATAGGGATTATTATAATCAAAGAAAGTGCTAAACTGACAAGGGTCATGCAGGCGTAGGGATTATACAGCACTGGGGGGGGGGGATGAAAGGCATTCTGGACTGATTCAGGGAACTGGAGCACAGATCAAATTCCCTAGATCAAGAGCCCCTCACCAGCATCAAGGAACCTCCCTTGAGGGGAGCAGATGAATATGAAATATTTCAATGTGCACTGCACAGAGTATTTTAAAATTCCCATTAGGCCAAGGACAGTATGTAATCAGCTAAATTATTAGTTTATCATCCATAATTGTTTTTATATATTTATTGGGATGCACTAAACCTGTATGGTTCACATAGCATCAGGGAAATGGGAGGCAATCAGCTTCAATACAATGAAAGGGAGTTTAGTCCTAGCCAGTCCAAGGCTCCCAATCACAGAGATGTCTGCCTTTATGGGAAAACAATAATATCGAAAACATCGGCATGAAAGGGAAAAATTAATAGACAATGTAAATAGAAGAAAAAATATATGTATACAAAGTCCAAAAAGACAAAACATAAGTATATTAATTGTGCCATAGATAATGGATTTATAAAATAAATATTTTACAGAGGTATAAATGCTTTGCCATTATTTACATTAATAAAAAACTCTTAATACATTTTTAAAAATGGAAATTATTAGTTTAATAGCAGGATGCACCTTGCTATTTTTTAATCCAACTAATATTCATAATACAGTAAATGCTAAACCATTTGGATGGACAGTACACACACACTTGAAGCTGATGGATGGATGGTACACACACACACACACATTTGAAATGGTTGGATTAGTAGTACACACAAACATGAAACAGGTGGAGAAGCAGCACACACTTGTAACAGCTGGATGGATAGTACAACACCTGAAAGTTTATATACTGTACACGCATTCACAACACCTGAGCTTTTTCTATTCCTAAATATTTATACAACATACAATGGTATCTTGTGTAATAATGTTTTAATTTTTTATGGATGTACATTAACTTAAAGTATATATGTTTCTTAAAATTAGACTTTAAACATAGTCCAATGAATTGCACAATTACAATATGCTAGGTTAAATTTTTCTTAATGGTTACTACTGCATTACAACTGACTTTCATGACAGTCAGAGTACACTCTCGTGCTAAATTGTACATATATATGCAATTCTTTCTTTCTGTCCCTTTGCATCCAATTAGTCCTATACTACCAAAAATCTCAGAATTCTTTATTATACATTTTACCTTTTGCACACATCTTTCCAGATAAAACACTGAAGATGGGACACCATGAGCATAACTTTGGTTATATAGCCACAATCACTGAAGATGGAAGACAAGCACTGCTTGGCTCCTGTAGTTACACATACTGAAAATGGGATACAGTGAGAATATCTACACTGCTACTGTAGCAATAAACACTGAGGATGTGAGATCATGATGGTAACCCTGCTCTTGTAGCATAATACAGGTTCCCTTTATGCAAATTTACTATTGTGCAATATCCCACTTCTACTGATAATTCCATCTATACAATGTACACCCACTGTATTATAATTCTCATCGTGCAGAATTAAGTGCTGATGGCTTGACTGACATACAGCAAGATACCTATAATTACTAATGCCATAAACAATAGGGTAACATGATCTCTAGAGCTCAGTATGGAGTTTAGATAAGCTACAGAACTGCAGCAATTTATTATTGCCTTCAATGGGTAATGAATCATGAAATCTATCAACTTTAAGCAATCGTTCTTTCTTTCAACGCACCGGCCATCTCACCAAAGCACGGTGGCCCAAAAAGAAAAATAAGTTTCTCTTTATAAATTTAGTAATGTATACAGAAGGGGCTACTAGCCCTTTACTCCTGGCATTTTAGTCGCCTCTTATGACACGCATGTCTTACAGAGGACGAATTCTGTTCCACTTCCCCATAGATAACTTTAAGTAATATACCATAAATTACATTTTTGTCATTATGAAATACCTCCAATATTTTAAGAACTGTGTATTCCTTTTCTCAGATAACTGTAATCACAATTTAATTTTAAGGCAGCATGAAATGCTATGTATAAAAAAGGGCTTTCTTTAGTTTATATATGACGAATCACCCTAATTGTATAATACATTGTACTCTTCCTTACGGAAGTAAAGCTTGTTTGTTTAGGGAAAAATTGCAAAATCAGACAAGATACAAGAAGAACAATGGCAAAATATTCTCAAACAATAATGTCCAGTATTAGCAACATTCTAGCATGAATGGTGAGAAAAACTAATTAAGAAACATACAAGTACGTATATAATCAAAAGAAAATAGGCTTTTCATTTTATTATCACACAAAATAACTAATTTATTCATTCTGACTTACATTTAGCCATTTTGCTTATTTTTTAGTGAATATATTCATATTTAAATATATAATATTAATGCCAGACCTCATGCCATATACAATTTGCATTCTAATTCTGTTTTGAAATCCAGATGAAGCAGAATAGCAGGATGACTAAGGAGGGGTGAGAAGTGTGAAATTTGGAGTCATCTGAACCATAATGTCAGCACACTTCTGAGCAAGTGTTTCCTCTTTTTTCTTGGGGAGATGGCTAGTGCTAACGAAAAAAAAAAAAAAAAATTACGCGAGTGTCAGAGCTAATACTCTTAGCATTAAATCGTGGAATGGGTGGAGTCTGAAACCATGGCAAGTCTTAAAACTCACAGGCCAGTAAGTTTTAGGACTCTCTTGCCATGGGTTCAGACCCTGCCCCATTTCCTGATTTGTTTGCAATCATGTTATTATAATTTCATGTCACTCTTAGGATAAATTTAGTGACTGACTGATTTGGTAAATGATATAAGTGCTTTGGTATCATAACTCTTGAAAGCAAGTATTAGCAAGATGCACAAAGTCAATACTACAGTTTCAACACAGAATCATACCCTGCAATCTCACAAACTTGAAAAGTTTGAATGAAATGAAAAGTTTCTGGAGTGTTGCTGAAAAAAGTTTCACTGTCCTATATAAGAAGTTACGTAAGCTACCAACAGCCTTAATAATCAGGTAGTGTCAAGATTTTTTCAAGGTCAAATGATACGTTACACAAAAATGGATGCAACCTGAAAACATCTCCATGTCATCCTTATTAGGGTTAAAATTTTGTGTATATATATAGTACATACTTTTGCTTCACACCTTAGCCATAACTTGTACTCAGTTACATTGAATAACCAGACCAGAGCCAACTCATATTTTTTTGGCTATTACAACACCTATGAAAGCTTCTATCAAGCTTTTGACATGTCCATATACTGCTCCAACATAAGAGAATCCAATTCATCATCAAAGATCATAGAATCCGATTCAGTGGTGCTACTCTGTGTTGCATCTTCCATGGACTGAGTTGAAGATTGTGTGGATTGTGTTGAATACATAACAGAGCGGCTCATTTTCACTTGTGGTGCCTTCTTTCCTGCATGTGAGAAACTGGAATTAACCATCAATTTATAATAAATATACATGCAATTAAACACATAATATATGTGCTGTTTCAACAATGATTGCTTCTGGCAATTTGTCCTCATGAATATAATCATAACAATGTAAGTGCAAGACTAAAACATAAAGTGACTTATAAAATGAAGGCTTGCTCCAATATTAATGTGAAGACTCTTAATTGATGGGCCATCTAATAATAAATAAATTAAAAATTTGGAGGTCTAACAATAAAAAGATTTTTGTTAAATTAGACACATGTGCAACTCTTGGGTATCTTTATTGAGGAAACGTTTCGCCACACAGTGGCTTCATCAGTCCATACAAAGATTGATGGACTGACCACATTACATTGATTCAAGGTTGAGAGACTGATCACCTCATTCTCCTCCTGTTCTTCAAGTTTCTCCTTTGTATGGACTGATGAAACCACTGTGTGGCAAAACGTTTCCTCAATAAAGATACCCAAGAGTTGCACATGTGTCTAATTTAACAACATGTCGGTTCTCTGAACCATTCATCTACAAAAAGACTTTTACAGGGAGAGGGAGCAGGAAATAATAGCTTTTTGTCTAAACAATATCATACAGATGTTTCTTAAGGGAAAGGAGACAGAATACATAAAAAAATTGGATTAAATGTTTCCAAAAAAGGCACTCATTCAAGTAATTTACACTGAAACAGTTTCTAGGATTCGATACTGTATTAATTTGCAAGTAAATTACTAGTTATTCCTATCTGAAGAGGAAGCGGGGTTTACATAGCCCCAGATTAATGAGAGTAGCCAAGGGAGTATCATAATTAGTGATGTACGTAACTGTGGCAAATTAAAAAATGTAAGATTAAAAATAATATCAGGGGACCAAAATAAAGAAATATAATAGAACTAAAGTTGCAATATAACACTTGAGACAAAAACAGTGATGACCTTTGCAGAATTGAAGTGAAGAGGTGAAACATCTGAACCCAATGAGAATTCTCTAACACTTAGGAATCAATACTGGCAATTACAGGGAAGTGTATTATCAAGGACAAGACAAGTCATAAATGACTCTAATACTCAATAAAGCTCTACATACAGCCAAACATAGCTGCAATAAAAGCTGACTCTGCACCTATGTCTTTTCTTCAGTCTATTAATGGCTCCAGAGTCCATTTAACAGGCTTCAATTTCACTCATATAACATGAGGAGTATCAAAGGGAGAAATAAAAGCTAATTAAAGCATATATAGTTATCCCAACACATTCGCAATCCTCCATATTCACAGATTTCAATTATCTAAGGTTTTTATTAACGGGCAACCGGTGAATGCTTTTTCTGATGCATTGACTTTCTTACACCAAAATCCCTCTTATTTGGGTCATTATTTTTTATAAATGTAATAATAGCCATATTAGGGGACACCTTACAGGAACATGCTCTCTGAAAAGGAAAATGTGCCTAAATCTGAAACAAAATTTGCTATGCACATCTAATTTATTGCATTAGAAGCAATTTCTACTTTCAGGGAACCTTCAGGGATGTAACCCCCATGAATCTGTATGAACAGCTGTAATATGGTCAGTAAATTTGCTTTATGTGGAAAAAATGGCTAACTACAATAAAAAAGATAAATTGTATAAATACGGTATTCACCTTGACTTGGTTGTGAGAGTCCATTTAAAATTTTGAAACTCTCCTCAAAGTACTGGTTTGGATGATTTATACCAGCATCTAGGGTAGAGTTGTGAGTGGCCTCCCAGTACCGCTGGCAAGCCACCTGATAATGGTTCTTGCTTACCAAATCCATTATTTCATTAATAGCTGCAATTAAGATACACATTAATGTATATTGTATTTGGGAATATGCTGTGATAATTGAAATTTGCAACAAATCAGACAATTATCTGGCAGGTACAGTGGAACCTCAAATATCGAACTTTCTTTGGTCCAGAAGGCTGTTCGAGTGCCTTTACCGAATGAATTTATTCCCATGAGGAATAATGTAAATTAGGTTAGTCCATTTCAGACCCTCAAAAATACACGTATAAAAGCACTTACAAAAATACACTTACATAATTGGTTGTGTTGGGAGCAGTTCGATTTTTGAGGTTCCACTGTATATTCATCTTCTTTCTTTCAACACACCGGCCGTATCCCACCGAGGAAAGGTGGCCCAAAAGGAAAAACAAGTTTCTCCTTTTACATTTAGTAATACATACAGGAGAAGGGGTTACCAGCCCCTTGCTCCCGGCATTTTAGTCACCTCTTACGACACACATGGCTTACGGAGGAAGAATTCTGTTCCACTTCCCCATGGAGAAGGTATATTCATATTATTAATATATACAGGTCGGCCATCACTAATCCGGCATCGTTGTGACCTGTTGTGTGCCGGGTTAGCGAGTTTGCTGGATTACACAGTGGTTAGGTTAGAATACACTTATCAATAGAGACTCTCTCTGCTACATCTTCCTCATTTTCATCACTGCTTTCTCCTCCACTGGCTTGTTGCTGTGCATTTACAGCCATCTGCACAATTTCTGAGTCAGTATAATGATAAAATTTGAGTCAGTACGTATAATGATGAAATTTGAAATTATGCTAGTCAAAATTAGTGCCAGATTACAGATGGAACTGGATAACTGATTGCCGGATTAGTGATGGCCAACCTGTACTAAAACATGCTTTTATAAAATCAAGAACAAAGGGTAACAAAAAAATAAAAAAAATCTTCTCTATTAATTAATCAATGGAAAATACAGGAATTATAAGGATTATTTTTATTATTATTATTCTAACACTCATTAGGGGGGGCACTAAACCCACAGGGGTCATACAGTACCAGTAGGGATGGGAGTCATTCAGATTTGGTTTGAGGAAAGGGAGATTGGGTCCAACATCTACCCCCTAGAGTATTAGCTAAATATACAATTGACATACCTTACTGTGAGTGCCCCACCCCACCCCACCAGTGATCTGTCTAGTTCAGTATGACAAATGCAGTAAATAAAACACTCGCTAAGGAAAGGAAGAATATTCCTTCTACAGCCAAACAAGAAATATACAATGGATAAACACCTCTCACCATGAATTATTTGTTATATATAATTCACAGTGCCAAGATGCAGGTAATCTTAATGCTGTTATCTTGCTGCACCTTGGAACTGTGATATTTTTTTTTTCAACAAGTGAATTATATACAAAGAAGAATTCACAGTGAGAGGTGTTTGTTCACTATATATTTCTTGTTTGGCTGTAGATGCAATACTAAAAATTATTAAGAAACATACTCATGCTCATGAGAAAAACACAAAGGATTCACAATTCTGCCAGAATTCTCAACACTAAACAAGCTTCTGTTTCACACTGTTTCACAATAGTATCTCCCTGGATGGTTGCAATTTACCAACCTATGACCTGGTGTGTATTTCACACCAATATGACCAAAAACACTAATACCTCCCTGGAAGGTTGCTGTCTTCCAACCTACATTCATATGACAGGACAATATTACCCATCTCTCCTGGAAGGCTGCTGTTTAGTAGCTATTACTCAGTGTGTGTTTCACACTAATATGACAGGACAATAATGCCTCCCTGGACAGTTGCTGTCTACCAACCTATTACCTGGTATGTATGTCTCACACTTATCTGACAGGACCTACAGTTCTGAGGAAATACCAAATCAGAACAATGTTATTTCTCAAAGAAAGAAAATGGAAATTTTATAAATATACTGTATTGTGTATTGCTATACCATTATTTTCTACTAAAACAACTTAACAATATAATTACCAGTATATACTTTCACTGAAAAATATAATCAACAGTAAAAAGTATAAAATAAAATAATTTAATTCATTAATCAGTCGGTTTTACCTTGCTGTGACACATTAAAGCTAGTGAGGCGTTGTCGCAAAATAGTATGGTCAGTGATCTTGAAAGGACAACCATGGGCATCACCTGGCCCTATGCTCATCATAATGATCTTCATACAGCTATAAGGAGTATAATCTGTCCTCTTGCCTTCTTTTCCGTAGTTGTATCGAACATTGTATGCATACTGTTTCTCAAACTGTGGATGACAGGCATGGTATTCATGAAAAGAAGTCACTGGGTTTTTATGACAACAGAAAATATGGCATCATGCACCAGTTAGGAATGTGAAAACTGTGGCAAATAATTTACATTTCTGGCTAGTGTATAAAACATACAACATATACAAGTGCAGTGGTACCCTGAGTTTCGAACTGCTCTCAACTCGACCAATTATGTAAGTGTATTTGTGTAAGTGTGTTTGTAAGTGCATTTTTGGGGGTCTGAAATGAACTAATCTAATTTACATTATTCCTTATGGGAACAAATTCATTCGGTATTGGCCCTCAAACAGCATTCTGGAATGAAACAAGTTCAAAACTTGGGGTACCACTGTACAGTCATACCCTGCTTTACATCATTTTGGCTTACAACCCAGTTGTGAAACTTCTTAATTATTTAATAAACTATGTGGCTACACAGCTTAAATAATTCCCAACAATTAAGCTAGTTAACTTTTAAACATATCTCCAACTATAGATACCCATATATCAAAGTTAAGAAAAGAAAATCAAAATTTGAATAGATTACAGTATGTAAAAATTAAATGAGGTAGTAGGTTGGTAGACAGCAACCGCCCAGGGAGGTACTACCGTCCTGCCAAGTGAGTGTAAAACGTAAGCCTGTAATTGTTTTACACGATGGTAGGATTGCTGGTGTTTTTTCTGTCTCATAAACATGCAAGGTTTCAGGTACGTCTTGCTACTTCTGCTTACACTTAGGTCACACTACACATACATGTACAAGCATATGTATACACACCCCTCTGGGTTTTCTTCTATTTTCTTACTAGCTCTTGTTCTTGTTTATTTCCTCTTATCTCCATGGGGAAGTGGAACAGAATTCTTCCTCCGTAAGCTATGCGTGTTGTAAGAGGCGACTAAAATGCCAGGAGCAAGGGGCTAGTAACCCCTTCTCCTGTATATATTACTAAATGTGAAAGGAGAAACTTTTGTTTTTCCTTTTGGGCCACCCCGCCTCGGTGGGATACGGCCGGTGTGTTGAAAGAAAGAAAGAAGATATATATATTCTAGGTAGTAGGTTGGTAGACAGCAACCGCCCAGGGAGGTACTACCGTCCTGCCAAGTGAGTGTAAAACGAAGCCTGTATTTGTTTTACACGATGGTAGGATTGCTGGTGTTTTTTCTGTCTCATAAACATGCAAGGTTTCAGGTACGTCTTGCTACTTCTGCTTACACTTAGGTCACACTACACATACATGTACAAGCATATGTATACACACCCCTCTGGGTTTTCTTCTATTTTCTTACTAGCTCTTGTTCTTGTTTATTTCCTCTTATCTCCATGGGGAAGTGGAACAGAATTCTTCCTCCGTAAGCTATGCGTGTTGTAAGAGGCGACTAAAATGCCAGGAGCAAGGGGCTAGTAACCCCTTCTCCTGTATATATTACTAAATGTGAAAGGAGAAACTTTTGTTTTTCCTTTTGGGCCACCCCGCCTCGGTGGGATACGGCCGGTGTGTTGAAAGAAAGAAAGAAAAAATTAAATGGGTAACAACTAAAAATTTCCATACTTTGTTGGTTTATATACTGAAACTGCATCAAGCTGGCTTGATGCAGATGGGGTATCAGTCAGGGACTACCAGAGAGGGTAGACCAAGATATGCTTGGTGCTACAGACACTGGAACTTACAATTTTTCTTATGACAGACTAAATACTGACAACAGGACAGGACACCATGCTCCTATAACCGCAAATAGATACTGTAATCACCACTTCAGTTCATATATATCTCCTTAAAAGTCTGGAAACTATAGGTATTACATACTTATGCAAAATGCTTATGACTGAAGTAGTAATGAAACTAATAAATTTTTACTGGAATTCATACCAAAATGCTCACTCAAACATGATGGACTATGATACTCTATGGAAAGACATACCTTATCTATGTCCATGTTCTTAGTAAAATGGGACCTCCAGAAGTAGAGAGCATCCTCTAAGCTCAATCCTGCTGCTTTGAGGAATAAGCCATAAGTAAGACGTCCACCGTGGCGCAAGTGGTGTGTAGTCCTTAGTGTGTCATTTAGCTGACGCATGCAGAGTGGAAATGACTTGGTGGCGAGCTCATCAATCATATCAGGGGTTATGTGAACACCATCTCCCTTTTTCTTTTGTGTATAGTCATTACCTGTGTAACGTTTGTCGAAGTCCTGCAATAGTTTCATCAAGCGTTCGTCGTCTTCTAACTGTGGAAGTGCTCTATATGTTATCTGCCAAGAAATAATTTATTTAGAGAATGTATAATTAATGAATTATTGTGTACTGAAAGCAGGCATTTAATAACTATTACAGTATTAAATTCACAAAAAATGCTAAACCCATGTGAGTAACTTACTGCTGAGATGCTGTTTGACTGTTTAGCACACATTTTTGCATATAATACAATAATAATAATATACACTGAGAATCACTGGAATTCTAAACTGCCTATTGTAATACCAACAAATGAATAAAATTCTGATTTAAAAAAGAGTACTAGCACTTACTGCAAGTGCATGGGAGAGGTTAGTTCTGAAGGCAGTTGAAACTAGAGTAACCAAGTCGGTGTCAGGGACGTACACATAACCTCCATGTAAGTAAACTTTTCTTTGTCTCACCAGCTCCAGGGCTTCTGTAAAAGGCACCTGAAATAACAAGTGCAAATCAGGCTGGATCTATCAAAAGGCACTATGTTCTGTGTACATATTGTAGGTGCATGAAAAAGAAGTGACAAAAGACCTCATTAAAAATTAAATAACAATCATAAACTTAAATTTCTTTTCCTTTAACCCAAAATGCATCCCTTAAAATTGAAGTGTACCACAATATTGTAAAATCAAAATGGATTAAAAATGAGACAATATAAAATATGAAGCTTGTATCAGAGTCAATAACCCACCTCCCTTCTTTTATCTCATTATTATTTTTTTTTTTTTTTTTTTTTTATTAACACATCGGCAGCAGACCAGCTGCAATGAGTTTTGAGAGTTAGGAATGTATAGTTACTAAACTACATTACAAAAGTGAGGGGTGGGGATGTTACAACTCAGTAGGTGAACAGTAGACAATCACAAACCAATGTTGACCCACTAGTTATTAACCAGAAAGGGAGCTAGAATAAGTGATAGAAACTGTTTTTGTCTCTGGATCACCTTTCCTTGGTGGGTAATGGGCAACGAGTTAAAAACTAAATACTCATGAACCTTACTTTGTAGAAAGTTCGTCCCTCCATCATATCACCACTGGATATGTTGTATGTTCCAGCTATCAAATTTTCTCTTTCCATTTGTACTTCCTCTGAAGACATCTGAAAGATACAGAAAAACTTACAGCTTAGAAATACAGCATATTACATCAGAAAGCATTATCATTCCTATTGGCTAAATGCTCCTGTGCTGCTACTGAGTCAGCCTTAGTTAAAACCCTGGTAACCTTGCTGAGTGAGGAAAGTGATCACATTTAGAGGTGGGCCTCGGTTTACAGTGCTTTGCTTTATGGTGTTTCGCTAATGCAGCACTTTCAATTATACCCATTCTTCATTTATTCAGATTTCCTACAATAAATATAATTACCACTCACTATAAGCTAAGGATGAAAATATTTTAAGGTAAGTAATGTGTGTACTGTATATGCATTTTAAAGGCCTAGCTCTACCGCTCACTTAATATATGATAGTGTAAACATGTTATCAGGCTTTTATATACATACATTTGAAAGTGAAAAAAGTTCACATTTTGCTTTACAGCATTAGCCCAGAATCTAACCTGCGGTATAAGTGTGGCCTGCCTGTACTTTCTATTATCATTTGATCACTATACATTAAACATTAAATCAAAGATGCTTCACATGGTTTGAATGAAAGACAGGAAAACAAAAGTATCTGACATCACACAGTAGAGATCTGTGGAGCGCATTTATTGAATATTTGAATAAACAAACCCACACAACACTTGAGCACAAAATACACATAATATCTACAGCAATGTAGCTACTGTCTGTTTACTAACCACCGCCATAAAGAATAAAAGTTGCAATACAATGGCTTTATTTGTGTTGAGTTTTATTTATGTTCATAGATTTCATTATTAATTTTATCTGTAGTAGCAGCAGTTGTGATCTTTAAATATCACAACAACTACTACTCCAATATCATGGATGAATATGATGTGATGTCACTTCCAACAACCTCAGAGGTATACCTTTGATATACACCTTTAATGAGTTCCGAGAGTCTTTCTATTCCTGGAGCCTGGCCCACGGCTGGGCTCGTCTAGTGCTAGCCTGGTCAACCAGGCTGTTGCTACTGGTGGCCTGCAACCCCACACATCCATCACAGCCTGGCTGATCTGGCACTTGGTGAAAGTACTTGTCCAGAAGATTTCTATACTTATCCCAGCAGTACTTCGGATATTTTTTGGTAAGATGTTGAATACTCTGGGGCCACAGACAGGGGCTGCTTTTCACTGAGTTTATTCTGCACTTCTTTCCATATCTGTCATTTCAGTATGTTACAGCAGTGTGCAGATTTGGGACCAGGTCCTTAAGTACTCTCCAGATATATTTTATCATGTATCTCTCCTCCACTCCTGCGAGTAAATACAGCCTCTCCTCACTTAATGACGGAGTTCTGTTCCAAAGACCATGTCGGTGAATGAATTCATCGCTAAACAAGGAACATACTATAATGGTAGTGGGTTTGTGTTAACCATCTTTGATATTGTTTTAATGTCAACTTTGCATCATTTAAAACATTTCTGGTATATTTTTGAATGTTAATACAGTAGTGTACTGTCTTTTTTGTAATAAACAGAATAGAGGAAATCAGCTCTAATATATGTACATTTATTATAGGTTGTAGGTTGGTAGACAGCAACCACCCAGGGAAGTACTACCGTCCTGCCAGATGACTGTGAAACAGAAACCTGTAACTGTTTTGCATAATGGTAGGATTGCTGGTTTCTTTTTCTGTCTCATAAACACGCTAGATAACAGGGATATCTTGCTACTCCTACTTACACTTTGGTCACACTTCACAGACACGCACATGCATATATATATACATACATCTAGGTTTTTTCTCCTTTTTCTAAATAGCTCTTGTTCTTCTTTATTTCTTCTATTGTCCATGGGGAAGTGGAAAAGAATCTTTCCTCCGTAAGCCATGCGTGTCGTATGAGACGACTAAAATGCCGGGAGCAATGGGCTAGTAACCCCTTCTCCTGTAGACATTTACTAAAAAAGAGAAGAAGAAAAACTTTATAAAACTGGGATGCTTGAATGTGCGTGGATGTAGTGCGGATGACAAGAAACAGATGATTGCTGATGTTATGAATGAAAAGAAGTTGGATGTCCTGGCCCTAAGCGAAACAAAACTGAAGGGGGTAGGGGAGTTTCGGTGGGGGGAAATAAATGGGATTAAATCTGGAGTATCTGAGAGAATTAGAGCAAAGGAAGGGGTAGCAGTAATGTTGAAAGATCAGTTATGGAAGGAGAAAAGAGAATATGAATGTGTAAATTCAAGAATTATGTGGATTAAAGTAAAGGTTGGATGCGAAAAGTGGGTCATAATAAGCGTGTATGCACCTGGAGAAGAGAGGAATGTAGAGGAGAGAGAGATTTTGGGAGATGTTAAGTGAATGTATAGGAGCCTTTGAAGCAAGTGAGAGAGTAATTGTGGTAGGGGACCTAAATGCTAAAGTAGGAGAAACTTTTAGAGAGGGTGTGGTAGGTAAGCTTGGGGTGCCAGGTGTAAATGATAATGGGAGCCCTTTGATTGAACTTTGTATAGAAAGGGGTTTAGTTATAGGTAATACATATTTTAAGAAAAAGAGGATAAATAAGTATACAAGATATGATGTAGGGCGAAATGACAGTAGTTTGTTGGATTATGTATTGGTAGATAAAAGACTGTTGAGTAGACTTCAGGATGTACATGTTTATAGAGGGGCCACAGATATATCAGATCACTTTCTAGTTGTAGCTACACTGAGAGTAAAAGGTAGATGGGATACAAGGAGAATAGAAGCATCAGGGAAGAGAGAGGTGAAGGCTTATAAACTAAAAGAGGAGGCAGTTAGGGTAAGATATAAACAGCTATTGGAGGATAGATGGGCTAATGAGAACATAGGCAATGGGGTCGAAGAGGTATGGGGTAGGTTTAAAAATGTAGTGTTAGAGTGTTCAGCAGAAGTTTGTGGTTACAGGAAAGTGGGTGTGGGAGGGAAGAGGAGCGATTGGTGGAATGATGATGTAAAGAGAGTAGTAAGGGAGAAAAAGTTAGCATATGAGAAGTTTTTACAAAGTAGAAGTGATGCAAGGGGGGAAGAGTATATGGAGAAAAAGAGAGAGGTTAAGAGAGTGGTGAAGCAATGTAAAAAGAGAGCAAATAAGAAAGTGGGTGAGATGTTATCAACAAATTTTGTTGAAAATAAGAAAAAGTTTTGGAGTGAGATTAACAAGTTAAGGAAGCCTAGAGAACAAATGGATTTGTCAGTTAAAAAATAGGAGAGAAGAGTTATTAAATGGAGAGTTTAGAGGTATTGGGAAGATGGAGGGAATATTTTGAGGAATTGTTAAATGTTGATGAAGATAGGGAAGCTGTGATTTCGTGTATAGGGCAAGGAGGAATAACATCTTGTAGGAGTGAGGAAGAGCCAGTTGTGAGTGTGGGGGAAGTTCGTGAGGCAGTAGGTAAAATGAAAGGGGGTAAGGCAGCTGGGATTGATGGAATAAAGATAGAAATGTTAAAAGCAGGTGGGGATATAGTTTTGGAGTGGTTGGTGCAATTATTTAATAAATGTATGGAAAAGGGTAAGGTACCTAGGGATTGGCAGAGAGCATGCATAGTTCCTTTGTATAAAGGCAAAGGGGACAAAAGAGAGTGCAAAAATTATAGGGGGATAAGTCTGTTGAGTCCTAGGTAGTAGGTTGGTAGACAGCAACCGCCCAGGGAGGTACTACCGTCCTGCCAAGTGAGTGTAAAACGTAAGCCTGTAATTGTTTTACATGATGGTAGGATTGCTGGTGTCCTTTTTTCTGTCTCATGAACATGCAAGATTTCAGGTACGTCTTGCTACTTCTACTTACACTTAGGTCACACTACACATACATGTACAAGCACATATATGCACACCCCTCTGGGTTTTCTTCTATTTTCTTTCTAGTTCTTATTCTTGTTTATTTCCTCTTATCTCCATGGGGAAGTGGAACAGAATTCTTCCTCCGTAAGCCATGCGTGTTGTAAGAGGCGACTAAAATGCCGGGAGCAAGGGGCTAGTAACCTCTTCTCCTGTATATATTACTAAATGTAAAAGGAGAAACTTTCGTTTTTCCTTTTGGGCCACCCCGCCTCGGTGGGATACGGCTGGTGTGTTGAAAGAAAGAAGAAGTCTGTTGAGTATACCTGGTAAAGTGTATGGTAGAGTTATTATTGAAAGAATTAAGAGTAAGATGGAGAATAGGATAGCAGATGAACAAGGAGGCTTTAGGAAAGGTAGGGGGTGTGTGGACCAGGTGTTTACACTGAAATATATAAGTGAACAGTATTTAGATAAGGCTAAAGAGGTCTTTGTGGCATTTATGGATTTGGAAAAGGCATATGACAGGGTGGATAGGGGGGCAATGTGGCAGATGTATGGTGTAGGAGGTAGGTTACTGAAAGCAGCGAAGAGTTTTTATGAGGATAGTGAGGCTCAAGTTAGAGTATGTAGGAAAGAGGGAAATTATTTCCCAGTAAAAGTAGGCCTTAGACAAGGATGTGTGATGTCACCATGGTTGTTTAATATATTTATAGATGGGGTTGTAAGAGAAGTAAATGCGAGGGTTTGGCAAGAGGCGTGGAGTTAAAAGATAAAGAATCACACATAAAGTGGGAGTTGTCACAGTTGCTCTTTGCTGATGACACTGTGCTCTTGGGAGATTCTGAAGAGAAGTTGCAGAGATTGGTAGATGAATTTGGTAGGGTGTGCAAAAGAAGAAAATTAAAAGTGAATACACGAAAGAGTAAGGTTATGAGGATAACAAAAAGATTAGGTGATGAAAGATTGGATATCAGATTGGAGGAGGTGAATGTATTCAGATATTTGGGAGTGGACGTGTCAGTGGATGGGTCTATGAAAGATGAGGTGAATCATAGAATTGATGAGGGGAAAAGGGTGAGTGGTGTACTTAGGAGTCTGTGGAGACAAAGAACTTTGTCCTTGGAGGCAAAGAGGGGAATGTATGAGAGTATAGTTTTACCAACGCTCTTATATGGGTGTGAAGCATGGGTGATGAATGTTGCAGCGAGGAGAAGGCTGGAGGCAGTGGAGACGTCATGTCTGAGGGCAATGTGTGGTGTGAATATAATGCAGAGAATTCGTAGTTTGGAAGTTAGGAGGAGGTGCGGGATTACCAAAACTGTTGTCCAGAGGGCTGAGGAAGGGTTGTTGAGGTGGTTCAGACATGTAGAGAGAATGGAGCAAAACAGAGTGACTTCAAGAGTGTATCAGTCTGTAGTGGAAGGAAGGCGGGGTAGGGGGTTGGCCTAGGAAAGGTTGGAGGGAGGGGGTAAAGGAGGTTTTGTGTGCGAGGGGCTTGGACTTCCAGCAGGCATGCGTGAGCGTGCTTGATAGGAGTGAATGGAGACAAATGGTTTTTAATACTTGACGTGCTGTTGGAGTGTGAGCAAAGTAACATTTATGAAGGGGTTCAGGGAAACCGGCAGGCCGGACTTGAGTCCTGGAGATGGGAAGTACAATGCCTGCACTCTGAAGGAGGGGTGTTAATGTTGCAGTTTAAAAACTGTAGTGTAAAGCACCCTTCTGGCAAGACAGTGATGGAGTGAATGATGGTGAAAGTTTTTCTTTTTCGGGCCACCCTGCCTTGGTGGGAATCGGCCAGTGTGATAATAATAAAAAAAATAATATTTAGGTATGATTCATACTAGTCAGGGAGCCCGTCGTAAGTCCTAGTTGTCGGCAAATGAGTAGTACGTTGCCAAGTGAGGAGAAGCTGCATTTAAGACTAAGACATTCCCGGTAATGTAAATTCTTTATTGACGCAATGTGGGCGGTAAACATTCTCTGTATTTGTTCCAGCTCTGATACTTCTCCTGCCCTGAACGGGGTCATCAACACCGAGCTATATTCCTAATGATGGAGCATGAGCAATTTGAAGAGTGTTACCATTAGCATTATATCCCTTGTTTTGAAGGTTCTCATTACCCATCCTATCATCCTCCTCCTGGCTGTCATGACCTTTGTTTTATTGTTCTTTGAAAGAAAGGTCAGCTGATGTAATTATTCCCAAGTCTTTCATGTTTTCCTTTTGTTCTATTCGACAGTCTGCTTGAGTTTTGTATACAGTGTTTGTTTTGAGTTCTTCATTCTTTTCATACCTAAGCAGCTGGAATTTATCACCACTGAATGTCATGTTGTCCTCCACTGCCCACTGTTTGCATCTTCCTGTAATTTTTCAGTATCTTCTACTTAAGTGACTTTCATATTTATTTTATTGCATCTGCAAATGATCATATAAAACTGTGATGGGTGTTTTTATCTATGACTTCCATAAAGATAAGAAAAAGCAAAAGTGCCAGGACAGTGCCTTGGGGAACTGAGATTTTTACCTCACTGATGCTGTATTTTGTTGTTTACTACTGTACTACTTGTTGTGTTGTGTGTGTTAGGAACCCGAAAATACATCTGCCTACCTTCCCTGTAATGCCTATAGTACTCACTTGTGTGCAATCACCCCATGATTGCATCTGTCAAATGTTTTTTTAAAATCTGTGTATATCACTTCTGGGTTTTGATAGCCTTCCGACACCTCTTTAATAGTACTGCCATAGAGGTTCAATAGCTGTGACAGGCATGCTCCGCCTGCTCTAAAACCATGCTGGTCTGGGTTATACCAACTGTGTTGTTACATTATTATTATTATAATAAAAAAGAAGTGGTAAACCTACAAGGGTCATACAGAGCAGCGTGCGCTGTTACATTTTGTATTCTGACATTCACAACTTGCACATCTGGGAACAAACTCTTGACAAAATTTAAATGTGTGTCTTTCCTTTCTGACCTATCTTCTTGTTTTCTCCCCTTTTTTTCCTTAGTTAGCTAACAGCCGACTTGATAATGGTCCAGGACAGTCTAAAACATGGTCAGGAGTTTCCTCTTCAATGTTTGTTTTATTTGTGAACTGCAGATCAGTATTGTAGTTAATCAGTTAAACTACTCACCTACTTATTTAGTAAATTCTTGTAATGCAGAGGGAAGGACTGAAAAATATATAACATTAAGATATAGCTGCAAATTCAGAAAACTGATATCATTTTAATACACTGGTCAGCTGTGTGACAAGCTTAACATTTCCTTAACTTCCTATGTACAGGTAGTTGTAATTGTTTAATGTCTTAAAATGTATGATAGTAAAAGATATCACTGCTGGTTAGAAAGGTACTTGTGATATATTGTGATGAAAGGACTAAATAAGTTTTGTTGTATGTAGATGTTAGTAAAACTAAAATTAATGAAATGTTATACTGGAAATGAATAAATTTTTAACCACAATAATAAAAAATAACTGCAGTAAAATAATGAAAAATTACAGATTACATCAATTACTAACTGGTGTAAAATGCAGGTTATTAATGGCCATGAAGTTTTTAATGTCCACTCCCTTCTTAGAACAGTGGAGAAGGCGAGCACGAAATAAGTCCGTCTCGTGAGTGATAAACCACCGTCGGAGCTCCTCGGTGCGACTGTATGCCAGACGCAGAATAAAGTGGGATACATGGTCACGTCTTCTTGCTGCCTCAATTTCATCCATTTTATTGGCTGACATTTTATCCTGTTGAAGAAGTTAAAATTAAGCCACAATTCAAGTAAAACAATATCTCTCCAAAACAAACTACTCTTTCATATTGTGTGTCATGTGACTCCCAAGGTAAGATAGGTTATACTGTATTCATCAGGTGGATAAAATGGGTAATGCAAAATATTTTATAAACTATAACGGCATTGGTAAGAATAATTTCCTTTCAGTTCTCACTTTTCAATAAGGCACAAATTTTTTTTTCCTACTACAGCAGATATTTTGTATTAAATATGGGTAACCCAAAGAAAAAACATTCATCACCCATTCATTAACTACTTTGTCAGAAGTGCATGGAAGTAATAATTAAAGTAACCTTCCACACTGCAAAATCTCCACCCATTTGTAAGAGTGCAAGTGTTATAGTTCCCTCCAACCCCCAGAAATCAGTTATCTAAAGTATTATTATTACTAAACTTAAAAAGAAGAATAACTTTTGTTTCTTCTTTTTCTGGTCACCCTGCCTTGGTGGGAGACATCCAGTGTTAAAAAATATTATTATTTATTTTTTTTTTATTATCACACCGGCCGATTCCCACCAAGGCAGGGTGGCCCGAAAAAGAAAAACTTTCACCATCATTCACTCCATCACTGTCTTGCCAGAAGGGTGCTTTACACTACAGTTTTTAAACTGCAACATTAACACCCCTCCTTCAGAGTGCAGGCACTGTACTTCCCATCTCCAGGACTCAAGTCCGGCCTGCCGGTTTCCCTGAATCCCTTCATAAATGTTACTTTGCTCACACTCCAACAGCACGTCAAGTATTAAAAACCATTTGTCTCCATTCACTCCTATCAAACACGCTCACGCATGCCTGCTGGGAAGTCCAAGGCCCTCGCACACAAAACCTCCTTTAACCCCCTCCCTCCAACCCTTCCTAGGCCGACCCTACCCCGCCTTCCTTCCACTACAGACTGATACACTCTTGAAGTCATTCTGTTTCGCTCCATTCTCTCTACATGTCCGAACCACCTCAACAACCCTTCCTCAGCCCTGGACAACAGTTTTGGTAATCCCGCACCTCCTCCTAACTTCCAAAACTACGAATTCTCTGCATTATATTCACACCACACATTGCCTCAGACATGACATCTCCACTGCCTCCAGCCTTCTCCTCGCTGCAACATTCATCACCCACGCTTCACACCCATATAGAGCGTTGGTTAAAACTATACTCTCATACATTCCCTCTCTTTGCCTCCAAGGACAAAGTTCTTTGTCTCACAGACTCCTAGTGCACCACTCACTCTTTTTCCCTCATCAATTCTATGATTCACCTCATCTTTCATAGACCCATCCGCTGACACGTCCACTCCCAAATATCTGAATACGTTCACCTCCTCCATACTCTCTCCCTCCAATCTGATATTCAATCTTTCATCACCTAATCTTTTTGTTATCTCATAACCTTACTCTTTCCTGTATTCACATTTAATTTTCTTCTTTTGCACACCCTACCAAATCATCCACCAATCTCTGCAACTTCTCTTCAGAATCTCCCAAGAGCACAGTGTCATCAGCAAAGAGCAGCTGTGACAACTCCACTTTGTGTGTGATTCTTTATCTTTTAACTCCACGCCTCTTGCCAAGACCCTCGCATTTACTTCTCTTACAACCCCATCTATAAATATATTAAACAACCACGGGTGACATCACACATCCTTGTCTAAGGCCTACTTTTACTGGGAAAAAAATTTCCCTCTTTCCTACATACTCTAACTTGAGCCTCACTATCCTCGTAAAAACTCTTCACTGCTTTCAGTAACCTACCTCCTACACCATACACTTGCAACATCTGCCACATTGCCCCCTATCCACCCTGTCATACGCCTTTCCAAATCCATAAATGCCCACAAAGACCTCTTTAGCCTTATCTAAATACTGTTCACTTATATGTTTCACTGTAAACACCTGGTCCACACACCCCCTACCTTTCCTAAGCCTCCTTGTTCATCTGCTATCCTATTCTCCGTCTTACTCTTAATTCTTTCAATTATAACTCTACCATACACTTTACCAGGTACACTCAACAGACTTTATCCCTATAATTTTTGCACTCTCTTTTATCCCTTTGCCTTTATACAAAGGAACTATGCATGCTCTCTGCCAATCCTAGGTACCTTACCCTCTTCCATACATTTATTAAATAATTGCACCACCACTCCAAAACTATATCCCCACCTGCTTTTAACATTTCTATCTTTATCCCATCAATCCCGGCTGCCTTACCCCCTTTCATTTTCCCTACTGCCTCACGAACTTCCCCCACACTCACAACTGGCTCTTCCTCACTCCTACAAGATGTTATTCCTCCTTGCCCTATACACGAAATCACAGCTTCCCTATCTTCATCAACATTTAACAATTCCTCAAAATATTCCTTCCATCTTCCCAATACCTCTAACTCTCCATTTAATAACTCTCCTCTCCTATTTTTAACTGACAAATCATTTGTTCTCTAGGCTTTCTTAACTTGTTAATCTCACTCCAAAACTTTTTCTTATTTTTCAACAAAATTTGTTGATAACATCTCACCCACTCTCTCATTTGCTCTCTTTTTACATTGCTCACCACTCTCTTAACTTCTCTCTTTTTCTCCATATACTCTTCCCTCCTTGCATCACTTCTACTTTGTAAAAACTTCTCATATGCTAACTTTTTCTCCCTTACTACTCTCTTTACATCATCATTCCACCAATCGCTCCTCTTCCTCCTGCACCCACTTTCCTGTAACCACAAACTTCTGCTGAACACTCTAACACTACATTTTTAAACCTACCCATACCTCTTCGACCCATTGCCTATGCTCTCATTAGCCCATCTATCCTCCAATAGCTGTTTATATCTTACCCTAACTGCCTCCTCTTTTAGTTTATAAACCTTCACCTCTCTCTTCCTGATGCTTCTATTCTCCTTGTATCCCATCTACCTTTTACTCTCAGTGTAGCTACAACTAGAAAGTGATCTGATATATCTGTGGCCCCTCTATAAACATGTACATCCTGAAGTCTACTCAACAGTCTTTTATCTACCAATACATAATCCAACAAACTACTGTCATTCGCCCTACATCATATCGTGTATACTTATTTATCCTCTTTTTCTTAAAATATGTATTACCTATAACTAAACCCCTTTCTATACAAAGTTCAATCAAAGGGCTCCCATTATCATTTACACGTGGCACCCCAAACTTACCTACCACACCCTCTCTAAAAGTTTCTCCTACTTTAGCATTCAAGTCCCCTACCACAATTACTCTCTCACTTGGTTCAAAGGCTCCTATACATTCACTTAACATCTCCCAAAATCTCTCTCTCTCCTCTGCATTCCTCTCTTCTCCAGGTGCATACACGCTTATTATGACCCACTTCTCACATCCAACCTTTACTTTAATCCACATAATTCTTGAATTTACACATTCATATTCTCTTTTCTCCTTCCATAACTGATCATTTAACATTACTGCTACCCCCTTCCTTTGCTCTAACTCTCTCAGATACTCCAGATTTAATCCCATTTATTTCCCCCCACTGAAAACTCTCCTACCCCCTTCAGCTTTGGTTTCGCTTAGGGCCAGGACATCCAACTTCTTTTCATTCATAACATCAGCAATCATCTGTTTCTTGTCATCCGCACTACATCCACGCACATTTAAGCAACCCAGTTTTATAAAGTTTTTTTTTTCTTCTCTTTTTTTAGAAAATTGTATACAGGAGAAGGGGTTACTAGCCCATTGCTCCCGGCATTTTAGTCGCCTCATACGACACGCATGGCTTACGGAGGAAAGATTCTTTTCCATTTCCCCCATGGACAATAGAAGAAATAAAAAGAACAAGAGCTATTTAGAAAAAGGAGAAAAACCTAGATGTATGTATATATATATATGCATGTGCGTGTCTGTGAAGTGTGACCAAAGTGTAAGTAGGAGTAGCAAGATATCCCTGTTATCTTAGCGTGTTTATGAGACAGAAAAAGAAACCAGCAATCCTACCATCATGCAAAACAATTACAGGTTTTTGTTTCACAGTCATCTGGCAGGACGGTAGTACTTCCCTGGGTGGTTGCTGTCTACCAACCTACTACCTATATTATTATTATTATTATTATTATTCTTGCACTCATGTTAAGCACAAAGCCAGTAGGGTCATACAGTGCTGCACCTCAGAGGAAAAATGAAGGTGGGGATGGGAAGAGAGATGAGGTTAAGGGAAAGGATGGAAATTACAGATGATGAATCAAATCAACGTCAGTTAGGTAGCAAAATTGTGTATGTGTGAGTAGCAAATACCATTATAGGTCAGTCAGAATACAGCAAAATTTATTTTCTATATTATATAATTTGATGCTTTATATTTTTCTATCATGAATGGAGAAGCTCAATTTTTGTTATTTTTTATTATTATTATTAGGATATTGGCCTGAAAAAGAAAAACTTTTACCATCATTCACTTCATCAGTCTTGCCAGAAGTGCACTTCCACTAGTCATAAAACTGCAACATTAACATCCCTCCTTCCAAGTGCAGACACTGTACTTCCCATCTCCAGGACTCAAGTCTGGCCTACCAGTTTCCCTGAATCCCTTCATAAATATTACCCTGCTCACACTCCAACAGCAAGTCAAGTCCTTAAAACCATTTGTCTCCATTTGCTCCTATCTAACAAGCTCACACATACTTGCTGGAAGTCCAAGCCCCTGGCACATAAAACTTCCTCTACCCCATCCCTTCAACCTTTCCTAGGCAAACCTCTGCCCTGCCTTCCTTCCACTACAATGCATTTTGGGCAGTGGACAAAGTATGTTCAAAATATTAGAGGTGTATGAAATGAAGTTGGCAACTCTGCGATGAATAGTAACCTATCTCATAAATGTCCAATAAAAGCAACATTTATGTACTATACATGAAATATACTTTAAAATTTCCAACCAAAAACTACCACAAAATATGCTTTTAAAATTCCAACTAAAAACTAAAATTTTTTTTACTGGTAAGGCAATACTGAAAGTGAAGTAGGTAGTGCTACAGTGCAGATATTATGGATGTGGGATATGATTGAAGGTTATTTCAATAAGTCCACAAAAAAGTTCCAAGCACAATTTAAGTGATTTTTACCAATCAATACATCTTGTAAAACATGAAGCTGTAAAGAAATGAAGGCAGATAAAAGATTTATGGTATGAACAAAGCAATATACCATCCATCTTATTTCATAATTCATGAAAAATACGTTTGTTTATTTACTTACAGCAGTGTGAATAAAATACTTGTTCTTTGCAAAATCATCATAGAGTTTGTTCATCCAGTCATCGGAGGTTTTAATTTGGCCACTGAGGTTCAAGCGTTCAACAGACCTCAAAACTGAAAGAATATACAGAATACATATGTGCTGAGTATTTTGGTTGGCAATAATTTATATAATAAACTAATTATTTTATTTTTATATATTACTTTAAACCCATAGACAGGAAAGTGTCTTCCCTAAAAACCTTAATAATTCAGGTGATTCACTTTCAGGGTAATTAGAATACTATACAGTAATAGGAAAAATAATTAATTTGTACATTTACATTACTAAATTAAATAAAAAAAGAACAGTATTCAATAGAGTACTCAGTCACTCATATTGTTAGGTATGATGGAAAACTCACAGCTATTAGATGACATTAGTCAGAGATAAGTAGGTCATGTCACACCACAAAAAATTACAAGAACAGCATAAGCTTTGCAGCACCAAATGTCCATCATATGAAGCTGGAATAATGCAAACAGAGCCTGGGGTTATAGGAGGTAATCAGGTTTAATCCAAGGAAGGGAAGATGGTACTGCCAATTCCCTGAACCCAATCTGCACAATATCTACTTTTCAAGTAAAGTATTGGAGTGATGCTAAATTATGTTTCAGAAATTGAAACTTTGAAACAACCCGGCTAGGTTGAAAATTACTGCATTATTATTATTATCATGGAAAGAGCTAAACCTACAGGGGCTATGCAGCACCTTTGAACTGAGATGTATATGTAATTATGTACATAGTAAATTGCTAAACCTGTAGGGATCATACAGAGTCTGGGGAACGAGATGTAATCAGCTTTGAACCGAGAATGGGAAGGGTAGCTCCAATCACCAGCACCAAGCACTGTCCTTGAAGAGAAAGATTATTGCAGTGCAGTACTGTATATATATTTTGGATGTGTAATTCTGCCATATTCTAAAATGATCCTTCATGAAAAAACTGACAGTAAAATGTGAATCAATCTACATGATAATAATGATGATGGCTAATTATTATGATTAATGATGATAGGGAGAGTGGTGCAGATATTGGCTGGTAATGCTAAAACGGTAGACCTGTTAGCAATGCTGATTAGAAAATAAAAATGACAGTAGTAAAAATCATAGTTGCAGACTGTACTGGCTCTAATATATTACTATCTGGAGTCTACCTGGAGAGTATTCCAGGGATCAATGCCTCCGAGGCCTGGTCCATGACCAGGCCTCCTGGTGGATCAGGGCCCGATCAATGAGGCTGTTACTGCTGGCAGCATGTAGCCCAACGTATGAACCACAGCCCGGCTGATCCAGCACTGACTTTAGGTATCTGTCCAGCTCCCTCTTGAAGACATCCAGGGGTCTTATTGGTAATTTCCCTTATGGTTGGTGGGAGGCTGTTGAACAGTCTTGGGCCCTGGACACTTATTGTGTTTTTTCTTAGTGTACTAATGGCACCCCTACTTTTCACTGGGGGTATGTTGCATTGCCTGCCAAGTCTTTTGCTTTTGTAGGGAGTGATTTCTGTGTGCAGATTAGGGACCAGTCTCTCCAGGATCTTCCAGGTGTAGATTATGATGTATCTCTCTCGTCTGCACTCCAGTGAGTACAAGTCAAGTGCTTCCAGGCATTCCCAGTAGTTAAGGTGTTTGATGGAACTTATATGAGCAGTAAAGGTTCTTTGTACATTCTCTAGATCTGCAATTTCACCTGCCTTGAATGGAGATGTTAATGTACAACAGTATCCAGCCTAGAGAGAACAAGTGATTTAAAAAGGATCATCATTGGCTTGACATCTCTAGTCTTGAATGTTCTCACTGTCCATCCTATCAGTTTCCTCGTAGATGTGATAGTGGCACTGTTGTGATCCTTGAAGGTGAGATCCTCAGACATTACCACTCCCAGGTCCTTCACATTACTTTTCCACTCTACTGTGTGATTAGTTTGTAGTATACTCAATTCTAACTATTATTTCCTCCAGTTTTCCATAATGGAGTAGTTGGAATTTGTCTTCATTGAATATCATATTGTTCTCCGCTGCCCACTGGAAAACTTGTTTTATATCTTCTTGGAGATTTGCCGTGTCCTCAATGGATGACACTCTCATGCAGACCCTAGTATTGTCTGCAAAAGATGATATGGTGCTATGGTTTACATCTCTGTTTATGTCTGACATGAGGATGAGGAACAGGACAGGGTCAAGTACTGTGTCTTGTGGAACAGAGTTCTTCACTATAGCAGCTTCCGATTTAACTCTTTTTACCACTACTTTGTGTTCGATTTGTTAGAAAGTTGAAGATCCATCTGCCTACTTTGCCATTTATCCTTTTAGCATGCATTTTTTGTGCTATTACACCATGATCGCACTTGTCAAAGGCTTTTGCAAAATCTGTGAATACATCTGCATTCTGTTTGTTTTCCAATGTATCCATAGTGGTCCAGTAGTTGCTGGAGGCATGAGTGCCCTGCTCTGAACCCAAGTTGCCCTGGATTGTGCAACTGTTGGGAGCCCAAGTGGTTTTCAATCCTGCTTCTTAGAACTCTTTCAAAGATTTTTATGATATGGGACATTAAAGCTATTGGTCTATAATTCTTAGCTATTTCTTTGCTGTCACCTTTATGGAGTGGGGCTATATCTGTTGTTTTTAGTGATTGTGGAATCTCACCTGTGTCTATGCTCCTTCTCCATAGCATACCTAGGGCCCATGAAAGGGGTTTCTTGCAGTTCTTAATGAACACAGAGTTCCACTGTTCATTTTGTGAATACAGCCTCTCCTCACTTAGCGATGCACTCATTTACTGACGCCTCAGACTTACGAGGGGCTCTCTAACCAGTATTCACACCTAAATAATGTACATGTATATTAGAGCTGATTTCCTCTATTCTGTTTATTTCAATATACAGTACACTACTGTATAAACATTTAAAAATATACCAGAAATGTTATAAGTGGTGCAAAGGTGACATTAAAACAATATCAGAGATGGATGACACGAACTCACTACCATTATATTATGCTCCACACTTAGCAACAAATTCATTTAATGATGTGGTCTTAGGAACGGAATTCCGTCATTAAGTGAGGAGAGGCTGTATTTTAGTTCATTACTACTGCAAACTGCTTAGCTACCAATATGTTGGAACCCAGTCCCTTGACCCATTATATGCATCTGTAATCTTTTGACTAACCCACAGGCAGGGTATGGGGTGCATAATAAAACTATCAAACTTCTATATAAAAATACATAATGTCTCCAAGGACACATACCTGATGCTCTCAGGTATCATATATATATATATACAGTGCTTACATTTCTATTTCCTTTAGCAGGTCTGCCAGACAAAGTCAAAGCATATAGTATTTTCTATACTGTTTTCTTTCAGCATAATTGGATTGTTACACAATTGAGCTGCATTTTAATTTACTAAAATTCTGGAATAAACACATTACTAGATTTGCTTACTCTTTAGTCTCTCAATGGCCATCTCATCAAATTCTGCCAGTGATACAAATCCTGCAGGTGGTGATGAGTAGAACTGGAGATTGCAGGGGTAAGATGTTTCAACTTCTATTCTCCGGCTTTTGCGTACTTTTCGACCCCCGAATTCCATCCTGTTTTAATTTGAAGTGAAAAAAATTATTACTTCGCTTTTGTAAACGAAATGCAATGCTAACATAAGCTTATTTTATAATTAAAGAAACTATACACAAAATTGCAAAACAGCAGACTGATAGACAGTAACCATCCAGGAAGGAACTGTAAAGTACTGTACTGTCCTATTACTTTAGTATGAAACATTATCCTGGCACTGTGTAGCACTCTGGTAAGCTTGCTGGCCTCTACTCTAAGACTTATGAATAATGAATGCAGAACGGTAAATAAATCATACAACTTTTACTTACATCACGTATCTGATTAGTTTCACTTCCCTGTGTTTGTTAATAATTCTCTTATTCCTATAACCCTGTACTTTCTTTTCAATTTAAGAGGCCTGGCTTAAGGCCAGACTCTGGGAGTAATGATACTAGAATATGTAATTAACAGATTAGAGTATGTCACTATTTTTTTTACCTCTACATAAATATCCACCTGAACACTCCCCCTGTTAGTCTAAGTAGTACTAATTACTCATTTTATACCAAAACCAGAATTCAACGAAAGATGTTACCTATGATCCATTACCTTTGAAGGAAAGCTTTCTTATTTTCTGTTAGGAGTAAATTAATTTTTGGTAAAAGTGTTTTATGTAAAATGGTATAAAACACTTTAAAGAAACTAACTTATCATATTAAAATGACAATCTTAGGTGATAGTTTTAGATAATATTGTACTACTGTACAGCAAGTGCAAACTCAAATGTATTATTTTACATAAAAGAACTCAGTTAAATAGTAAGTTATTGTAATAAATATTGAATGTCATCCAGTTTTGTAAAAGCTATGTACCACATGGAAATAAATTATTATAATAATAAATACTAATTTACATATTTCAGAGATCTCTACTGACTATACCTTACCACAGAGTAACTTTCCTTAAAATGTGGCTAAGTTAATGATAGTACAGTGAGCAAGATTCAACCATTCAGTGCTGCTAGGAGAATAGCTGGAAGTTATTTCTTGCTACTAGCAAAAGAAGCCTGTACAGTATTCTATTGACAAAGAAAACTGTTGTGTAAATACCAAACCTGTAAAAGTTTCTATAAAAGTGCTTTAGGGGTAATGATGTTGTAAGTCATACTATGTATTTTATTTTGTTGGATTATGCTAGGCTATAAATTCATCACTTAGTACCATTATATGCCTATAGTAGTTTAATGCAACTATTTAGAAAATTTAAACATCAGTTAATAAAGGCCTAAAACTTTTATTGAATACAGGAATACAATATTGTACTTCTATGGTCCCCTCAGGGAAGGTTCCTTGATGTTGGTGAGGGGCTCTTGATTTAGGGAATTGGATCTGTGCTCCAGTTCCCCGAATTAAGCCTGAATGCCTTCCACATCCCTCCCAGGCACTGTATAATCCTACGGGTTTTGCGCTTCCCCTTGATTATAATAATAATAATAATAATGTACTTCTCTGGTATGAGCCAGTGAACTTGAAGACCCCCTAGAGGGATCCCTAGGTACCTGTTTATTGCTATGCGAATTGTGTTATTTAGTTAATAGAAGGAGAAGCACTAAACTCATAGGGGTAGCAGAAAACCAGGGGAATGGGTGACATTAGGTTCAATCCCAGAGGATATAACCAGTTCCTTGGATCAAGAGCCCTCATCAGGATCAAGGCACTTTTCTTAAGGGGAGATGTAAGGAGGCTTGAGCACATATCTTGCCCGACAGGAGATTGAACCAGAGTGCTTTTGGGTGTGAGGCAAAAGTTCTGCCATTGAGCTACAAGGTAGCTGCCTACTCAGCAAACCTGACTACGCTCGCCTGGCATTTTTTTTTTCCTCTTACTATACTGTTTTCGGATGGTGTTAAAAGAGTATGAACTGAAATAATTAAAGAAACAATTATTTATAATGATAGTGAACTAATAAAAGTAGACATTTAATAACCATGTATTATCTAGAATCCTTTAATAATCATAATAAATTAAATATATACAATATCTAACAATACATTTTTTACGTGTTTATCCTACTACATGTAATGAAAATAACTAAATAACACAAATAAGCTTCAATCAGGTTAAATATAGACCACCGTTTAAATTTCTACAATATTTGCATCATCCACATGATTATAATGGACATACAGTGGTCATAAAACCCAAGTAAAATCATTCATCACCCTAACGTGTCATAAAATGCCACAAAAACATCCCAGAATAACCCAAAATACCTGAAAATACGGCACAATTTTACAAATTAACGCGGGAAGATTGGCGCCAAATTCAGTGTTTACAAATATTCAGCGTCAGCCGCCGCCGCCACGATCATCCACACTCAAAATTCAACATCATTGGCAGTTTTTCCGTACATTAATCCTCAAAACCAAAACTGAATTCATCCCGGAGGATTAATAATCCGCGGAATTATTTATTGGCATGGTTTATTTGATGGAGGTGAGGTGTTATGTTGAGTAATAAAGGGTGGGTGGCAGGGGTGCCCCGTCCCTCACTGGCTGACAATGGCGGCCTCCAAGTCTGAAGATATTCTTGGGCAGAAATGGGACCGCTGTGTTGCTGATACCCTTATTAAAATTGGTGAGGATTTATCCAATGTGGATGTGACTCCAGGGGGAGAGTTGTATAGGTAACTATTATAGGCAGTGTTTTAAGTTTCAATGCTTGCAGAAGGAAGTCTTCGACCTCTACCGAAATTCCCGGCTGGATAAACATGAATTAATAGGAGAGGTCATTTTTTACTTTGTCACTTGCTGTAAGAGGTAGAAAAATTGGCATGGATGATTGAGTGATTCAGTAAAAACACTGTACCTCTCACCCCACACAGCTACAGCCTCGTACTTCAAAACTATTGTAAAGAAAAAAAAAAACTCCCTTACAGGACACCAATGGAAATAAAGTCACTTTATCCGAGTTTTTTTTGGGCTGTTCTGGGCAATCTACACATATACTGCTGTGTATGATAATTTACTTAACTGTGTACCTGTACCAGAATAACCTTATTTTTCCCAACATCAGTTAAATAAGAGAAAATTGTATAACCATATTCTCATTGTCACAAACTTATGGAAAACAATATATTCTTATTCTCAATATCTGTAATCCTCACATCCATTAAATTCTTGATTGTGTCCTTATTATATATTATAATCCAACCTGTAATTCTTAAAACAAACTCAATAAAAGCCATATAGCATGTACTAATATGATATTCAGCTCTTTTGTATTCATTGTAATGCTTAAATTTTATTTTTACAGACGCCTAAGAGACTGTATGTACAGTATAAACAATCAATTGTTGCCTCAATGGAAATAAGTCACTTTGACTTTTTTGGGGGGGTTATCTTGGGTAATCAACACATGTTGCTATGTAAAGTAAAAGGACACAAGTGCAACTAATGTGACATTTTATTGTGGCAACGTTTCGCACTCCAGAACTTTGTCAAGTTCCTGGAGAGCGAAACGTTGCCAAAATAAAATGTCACATTAGTTGCACTTGTGTCCTTTTACTTTACATATTGTCAGTAATTCTACCAACATTATTACATGTTGCTATGTATGATAATTTATGTAATTGTATTGATGTGTACCTGTACCTGAATAAACTTAATTTTAATCTTAAGATAGGCTTAAGTTTGCCTGACATGCTCTGCATACTAACCCTTTGACTGTCGCATCCCCCAATCCTGAGGTCTCTCCTGGTGTCACAGAAATTTAAAAAAAAATAAATTATTTTTTCTTATGAAATGATAGAGAATCTTTTCCCAATGGTAATGACACCAAAAGTATGAAATTTGATGGAAAACTTACGGAATTATGCTCTTGCGAAGTTAGCGACCTTGGCAATATTTACGAATCGGCGATTTCACCCACTTTGAGCCCTATTTTCGGCTAATTCCATTGTTCCAGTCAACCAAACTCATAGCTATTTCTTTAGAGCTCCATTTTTTTCTATCGATTGAGTACAAGAAACTGCCCATTTACCGATTTCAACTACCTAATAACAAGGTCAGAAATTTGCAATTTGGCCAATTTTATGAAAATTAAAAAATATGACAATTTCAAAATAGGGTCCAGAATGAACAATGCAGACATTCCTGGCTCTAAAATAACATTTTGTTTGCTCATCAGTCACATCTCCAGGCCCCTCTGATATTACTCTTGCTTTCTATTTTGAATTTTTATTCAAACAAAAAATAGAAGATTCACTGTTATGCAGACTACTGCAACATTGTAATAATTATATAAATAATGTCCCCCCATTCATGACTGCATATTAGAATGGTTACTTGGACATTTATTGGACAATGACATCATTTGTTTACTTTTGAACATCGGCAAAAATCAAACATTTCCCCTACTTTGAGCTCCATTTCCAGGCTCTTTTTATAGTAAAACCAATCAAAATCACCTCTATTTCTATATGTTTTCCAGTCTATGAAATGAGACGACCAAGAAAACGAGAATACAACCATAAATACTATACGAAAATAGACCACAAAGTCGGCATTGTAATTAAAAAGAACGGTCTGATTTTTTTTTCTCATTATGCACTACGTGCTGCAGGATTTTTTTTATATGGTGCACACTGACCACACAGACCCATTCTCTCACATGTGGGCCTACCAGCTTTCTCCTTCACTTGAAGCCACTAGAATTTATGAGTAGTATATATACGTCAAACATGGTGGCTTGTAAGACGTATATATATGACCGAAACGGTCAAAGGGTTAAGGGGCTTTCTGCATGTACACCTCAGTGTCATTCACCGTTGTACAAATATTGTATCATGCTGAAATATAGTATCTTTAATCTCTGTAATCCTTCAGAGTGCTGGCACTTCCCTTATATTCACTTCAGGATATTTATTAGAATAAATTCACCACTAGTGGCAAAATGTTTCCTCTAATCTAATAAATGTCCTGAACTGTACATAAAAGTCTTTGTTCACATCTTGCCAGCATTACCGTACCATTATTCACTTTACTTCCTACCACCACAACTCGGGAACTTTAAATTGCAATATTTTCTTTGGTCATATACAATAAATAAATAAAGTTTATTTCTTTGTAAAGGTTACAATGTGTAATTACAATTTTGATTTGCTAAGTACAAAGATATGAATGAGAATTCTAATTTGTAATGCAGTATCACATTGCATTAACTTTTTTTTTTTTTTTGTAAATACAGCACTTTATTTTGTTGTTGAAAAGATGATTTACATACCTAATGTCTTTTTTTTTTTTTTTCTTGTCTAGGCATTTTTTTTATCTTGATCTTGCATAAGTAAATGAATTTACTGCAGTAAATTTTATTATTATAAATATATATATATTTATTTTATTTTATTATCACACTGGCCGATTCCCACCAAGGCAGGGTGGCCCGAAAAAGGAAAACTTTCACCATCATTCACTCCATCACTGTCTTGCCAGAAGGGTGCTTTACACTACAGTTTTTAAACTGCAACATTAACACCCCTCCTTCAGAGTGCAGGCACTGTACTTCCCATCTCCAGGACTCAAGTCCGGCCTGCCGGTTTCCCTGAACCCCTTCATAAACACGCTAGATAACAGGGATATCTTGCTACTCCTACTTACACTTTGGTCACACTTCACAGACACACACATGCATATATATATACATACATCTAGGTTTTTCTCCTTTTTCTAAATAGCTCTTGTTCCTCTTTTATTTCTTCTATTGTCCATGGGGAAGTGGAAAAGAATCTTTCCTCCGTAAGCCATGCGTGTCGTATGAGGTGACTAGAATGCCGGGAGCAATGGGCTAATAACCCTTTCTCCTGTAGACATTTACTAAAAAAGAGAAGAAGAAAAACTTTATAAATATAAAAATAAATATATATATATATATATATATATATATATATATATATATTATATATAATATATATATATATATATATATATATATATATATATGAAGGAGGGGTGTTAATGTTGCAGTTTAAAAACTGTAGTGTAAAGCACCCTTCTGGCAAGACAGTGATGGAGTGAATGATGGTGAAAGTTTTTCTTTTTCGGGCCACCCTGCCTTGGTGGGAATCGGCCGGTGTGATAATAAAAAAAAAAAAAATATATATATATATATATATATATATATATATATATATATATATATATATATATATATATATATATATATATATATTAATATTATAATATATGCATATGTATTACAATTATTTATTTATTTGTCCATTTTAGAAAACTTTTCGCATCTTAAAACTACCATAACGCAAAGCCCAAAATACGTATTTTTTTGCAATTCATTCCAAGCTCCAGAAAGTGCAACTTTTTATATATACTTTGGACCTGTATACTCAGACATTATCTGTAGGCATTGTATCTCCCTTTATCTGCTGCTATTTTAATCAACAGTAAATGTCTTTATCTCTGTGATAATTTCTCTGCCTTTCTTTTTAACTAGCTTAAATTCATCAGCTACTTTGATATCCTTTATAATGTGTATTTCCTTGATAACTGAGATGGTTAATTGAACAATGTAGAATTACATGCAAAAAATGAGGTAATCAGTCTCGGCATTGGAGTTGAAGAACTAATCTCCGGCATCGTATTTTTCACAATTTCTTGTTTCATCATCAGAGAAATTACCAGTTTACTGTGCACTTTAGGGGGCCATGTAGACTTGGTAGCACAAAAGGTGGTGTAATTAAATCACAAATATGTATTGTATCTCAAATTTTTCATAGCAACTCGAAACTAAATTTCTTTGAGGGCAAATCATAACAAAGAATTATCATATCTCCAGCCCATTGTAAATTTAGGGACCACTATATAATAATACAATACAGTAATTTATTATACAGTGGACCCCCGATTAACGATATTTTTTCATTCCAGAAGTATGTTCAGGTGCCAGTACTGACCGAATTTGTTCCCATAAGGAATATTGTGAAGTAGATTAGTCCATTTCAGACCCCCAAACATACACATACAAACGCACTTACATAAATACACTTACATAATTGGTCGCATTGGGAGGTGATTGTTAAGTGGTGGTCCACTGTATTTTGTTTTATTTTATTTGAGGTAGTAAGTTGGTTGACAGCTATCATTCTAGGATGTATTATCATGTTATACGAGTGTGATACAGAAAGCTTGTAAATGTTTTGCACTAGTAGAATGCCAGTCTTGCCTTCCTGTGTCATGAGCACATAAGGTGGCAAGTTGGCAATGCTGTCGCCTCTCACACTGAGTGTCCATGGTTTGATTTCTGACACTGGTGGAAATGCTGGGCATGTTTCCTTACACTTACTTTCTTTGTTCACCTTGCAGTAAGTTGGTACTGGGCATTAGTCGACTGGTATGGGTTGCATCCTGGGGGAACAAGATTGAAGGACCCCAGTGGAAATAATACAGAAAGTCCTTAATGACAGACTGACTTTCTTGGGTTATCCTGGGTGACTAACCCTCTAGGTTAATACATGTAATCCAGACAAATAATAATACAGTGGACCCACAGCCAACGAAGGCATCGTCTAACGATAAATTCGTCCAACGAAGCTTTTGAGCGTAAAAATTTTGGCCCAACCAACGATGAAAAAATCAACCAACATGATTCATCCTGAACCTGTCCGTCCAGCCTGAGCACCTCAGCCGCCCTGCCATCATTGTTTACATGCCAGGGTGGACGGTTCCACGCATATATTTGATAAATTTTGTATTCCATTGTTTTTAGTGCTTGTAACTGCTAAACAAGCCACCATGGGCCCAAAGAAAGCTTCCAGTGCCAACCCTGTGGTAAAAAGGGGTGAGAAATACTATCGAAATATTATCGTACCATGGTCAGCTGCTGCTGCACCACCGTCAGTTGCTGCTGTACCTCGGTCAGCTGTTGCTGCACTACAGTCAGCTGTTGCTGCACCACTGACAGAAGCTGCTCCACCACCATCAGCTGTACTACTCAAAGATGTGGAGAGTGTTTTTGGTGTTGCTTAGTGAGAAACAATTACCCCCAGAGGGTTAGCCACCCAGGATACCTCAAGAAAGTCAGTGCATCATTGAGGACGGTCTAACTTATTTCCATTGGGGTTCTTAATCTTGTCCCCCAGGATGCGACCCACACCAGTCGACTAACACCCAGGTGAACAGGAAAAAATGCCTGGAGCTAGTGCTCATATTGGTGAATTTAAAGCCAGCAAAGGTTGGTTTGAGAGATTTAAGAATCGTAGTGGCATACACAGTGTGGTAAGGCATGGTGAAGCTGAAAAATTCCAACCCCAACAAGTGTTTATTTGTGACTAAACAGGCCTGTTCTGGAAGAAAATGCCAAACAGGACCTACATTACTCAGGAGGAAAAGGCACTGTCAGGACAAAAGCCTATGAAAGACAGGCTAACTCTCATGTTTTGTTGTAATGCTAGTGGGGATTGCAAAGTGAAGCCTTTACTCATGTATCACTGTGAAAATCCCAGTGTGTTCAAGAAGAACAGTGTCTCATCCCTCATCAATACTCTTCAATAAAGGTAAGTGTCATTTTAACATTTATTTATGTAGTTATTGTGCATGTTTCATTGTTTTCTTTGTAGGGAAATGTATATTTCATGAAAAAAAAAAATTTAATACTTTTGGCTGTCTGGAACGGATTAATTTGATTTCCATTATTTCTTATGGGGAAAATGATTCGACTAACAATAAATTCACCTAAAGATAAGCTCTCTGGAACGGATTAATATCGTTGGTCGAGAGTCCACTGTAATTAACCCTTAAATGGTCCAAACGTATATACGTATACGTTTTTTCAACATCTGAAAGTATGTAAAAAATGTAGATCTTTTTTGTTTTACATTTGAAAAAGTGTAAAAAAAACTTTTTTCTACTTTTTTATATATATATTTTAAAATATGTAAAAAAAAGTAGATCTACTTTTGTAGCACTACGAATTTGAACGTCGATCTGTTTGGACCGTTTAAGGGTTAATAATATTAATACAGTACTCTTTTACAAGTACATGTACAAGGTATACAGGCCTAGTTGACATCAGTGACTACATAGAGCGACCCTCTGGACCTCAGTGCATGAGCTGAATGCACTAGCAATCAAGCTATGATTTTATAAACTTTTATATGCAGTGGACCCTCAGTTAACGACGTCATCGAATAACATAAAAATTGGATAACGACACATTTTTGTGTCAAATTATTGGCTCGGTTAACGGCAAAGAACTCGGTTAAAGTCATTCATCCTGAAGGTGTCCACGCAGCCTGAGCAGCCCAGCCACTTCATGTACAGCCAGTGTGCCATTGTTTACAAGCATACATGCGATACATTTTGTATTATTCCATTGTTTTAGTGCTTGTCACTGCTAAATAAGTCACCATGGGCCCAAAGAAAGCTTCTAGTGCCAGCCCTGTGGTAAAGAGGGTGAGAAATACTGATGAATTCAAAAAAGAGATCATTACGAAATACAAAAGTGGAGTGTGTGTGTGTCTCCGAGCTGGCCAGGTTGTATAACAAACCCCATACAACAATCGCGACTGTCTTGGCCAACAAAAAGGCAATCAAGGAAGCTGTTATTGCAAAAGATGCAAATGTGCTTACAAAACAGAGATCGGAAATACTCGAAGATGTGGAGAGACTGTTGGTGTGGATCAACGAGAAACAATTATCAGGAGATAGTGTTTCACAGTCAGTTATAAGTGAAAAGACAAGGCAGTTGCATGATGATCTCGTTAAGAAAATGCCTGGAACTAGTGCTCATATTGGTGAATTTAAGGCCAGCAAAAGTTGGTTTGAGAGATTTAAGGATCGTAGTGGCTTACACAGTGTGATAAAGCATGGCGAGGCTGCCAGTTCTGACAAAAAAGCAGCTGAAAAATATGTGCAGGACTTTAAGGGGTATATAGAGGCTGAACAGTTAAAACCCCAACAAGATAAGATAAGATTTCATTAGGATTTTTAACCCTGAAGGGTTAGCCACCCAGGATAACCCAAGAAAGTCAAGGCATCATCGAGGACTGTCTAACTTATTTCCATTGGAATCCTCAATCTTGTCCCCCACGATGTGACCCACACCAGTTGACTAACACCCAGGTACCTATTTGCTGCTAGGTGAACAGGGCAACAGGTGTAAGGAAACCTGTCGAAATGTTTCCACCCGCCGGGAATCAAATCCGGGCCCTCCGTGTGTTAAGCGGGAACTTTAGCCAAAAGGCCGCCGGTTCAATTGTGTTCAGTTGTGACGAAACAGGCCTGTTTTGGAAGAAAATGCCAAACAGGACCTACATTACTCAGGAGGAAAAGGCACTCCCAGGACACAAGCCTTTGAAAGACAGGCTAATTCTCATGTTTTGTAGTAATGCTAGTGGGGATTGCAAAGTGAAGCCTTTACTTGTGTGTTCAAGAAAAACAGTGCCGTCAAGACTAAATTGTGTGTGGAGAGCAAACAGTAAGGCATGGGTCACTAGGGACATTCTCCTCGATTGGTTCTGTGACGTGTTTGGCCCCAGTGTGAAAAAATACCTCCTGGAAAATAAATTGCCACTCCAGTGCCTCCTGTTAATGGACAATGCTCCTGCTCATCCTCCAGACTTGGAAGAGCGAATTGTGGGGGAGTTTAGTTTCATCAAAGTGAAATTTTTGCCCCCTAACACCACTCCTCCAGCCCATGGACCACCAGGTCATTTCAAATTTCAAAAAATTGTATACCAAAGCAGTGTTTCAAAAGTGCTTTGAAGTGACCTCAGACACTGAATTGACCCTAAGAGAGTTCTGGAAAGATCACTTCAGTATCCTCAGTTGCATAAACCTTATAGGTAAGGCTTGGGAGGGAGTGACTTGCAGGACTTTGGATTCTGCTTTGAGAAAATTGTGGCCACAGTGTGTACAAGAGAGGGATTTTGAAGGGTTTGGGGCTAACCCTGAGGAGCCTATGCCAGTTGTGGAATCTATTGTGGCATTGGGGAAGTTCATGGGGTTGGAGGTTAGTGGCGAGGATGTGGAAGAGTTGGTGGAGGACGATGATGAAGAGCTAACCTCTACAGAGCTGCAAGAGCTTGAGGTGCAACAGCAACAGACCACAGCTCAGGAATTTCCTTCAGAGGAGGGGGAAGAGAGATGGAGGAAGTTGCCTTCTTCAAAGATTAAGGACATTTGTGCAAAGTGGACTGAAGTGCAAACCTTTATGGATGAACATTACCCTGACTCAGCTGTTGCAGGCCGTGCTGGCAACATCTACAATGACAATGTTGTGTCCCATTTTAGGGAAATCTAAAAGACAAGCCATAAACAGAGCTCTGTGGACAGATTTTTGGTGCGACAGGGGTCCAGTAACTCTCAAGCTGGTCCTAGTGGCATTAAAAAACAAAGAAGGGAGGTAACCCCAGAAAAGGACTTGGTACCTAAAATCCTTATGGAAGGGGACTCCCCTTCCAAACAATTGCAAACTCCTCCATCCTCTGCCCTCCTCTCATCACTCATCATGTACATCTTCAATAAAGGTAAGTGTCATTATATTAATTATTAATGTATTTATTCTACATGTCTCATTGTTTTCTGTGTAGGGAAATGTATATTTCATGTAAAAAAATTTTGTTTAATACTTTTGGGTGTCTGGAACGGATTAATTGGATTTCCATTATTTCGTATGGGGAAAATTAATTCGGTTAATGACAGAATTAGTTAGACAAGCTCTCTGGAACAGATTAATGTCTTTAACTGAGGGTCCACTGTATTTATACAGTGGTGGTAAATTATGTAACTTAATCTAAAATAGGTACCCTAAGGAAAGTTGAAGTGTGGTGACTAATTTCCAGTGGGGTTCACTTTGCTTTTCTTTTTGCAGTCCTTAGTCTTGTAAGTTTTAGGACTCACTCACCATGGGTTCAAACCCCACCCGTTCTGTGGTTTATTTCCTTCACATTTTATGAAGGATTGGTCTGGGACCAGACCATTTGCAGGTATAACAGATGCTGTTTATAACAGTTCAGTATATGTAGACAGCAAGTTGCAGTTGAATGCTAGTCAGTGTAAATGACATGCGGGTGTTCTTTTTTTTTGTCATGTTCTCGTATTAACTTTTGCAGATTTTTAGGTCAGAAATTAATGCTTCTTTCTTTTGCACAGGTGGAGGCCTTACTCTAGGAGTTGTATTTTCTGCTATTGTCTTTAAAAGTAAGTGCTAATATCTTATTTTATGGATTTATTAGGATAATACAGTACTAAATGTAAGTGCTTACAGCTTATTTTGTAGATTTGTTTGGAAAATACATTACAAAAAGTAAGTACTTATAGCATATTTTATAGATTTCTTAAGATAATGCAGTATTTGTTAGGATAATGCATCCCACATTTCTTTGCTATGAATCTGCTGCTGTATGTAATTACATATTTGTAGCTACAAGAGCAGAGTTATATTCATGGTGCACAAGATAAAGTAAAGTTGTGTCACTTTTGAAGAGTAAATTATTTATATGTTCGGGTATTTTACAAAGGTTAGCATTGATTTACCCATTCTAATCATGGTATGTGTTGTAAGGTACTGAAATAAAGGAGACTGTATTTCATCTAATTAATTTAATTTGTTCTAATTAATTTGTTCTAATTTTTTCATACACATTACTGTACATTCTAAGGATACCAGAAATAATGTACAGTGGAACCCCGGTTTACGATCAGCTCCCAATGCGACCAGTTATGTAAGTGCGTTTGTATGTGTATGTTTGGGGGTCTGAAATGGACTAATCTAATTCACAATATTCCTTATGGGAACAAATTCGGTCAGTAGTGGCACCTGAACATACCTCTGGAATGAAATAATATCGTAAACCGGGGGTCTACTGTATTTGGAATACAGTGGACCCCCGGTTAACGATATTTTTTCATTCCAGAAGTATGTTCAGGTGCCAGTACTGACTGAATTTGTTCCCATAAGGAATATTGTGAAGTAGATTAGTCCATTTCAGACCCCCAAACATACACGTACAAACGCACTTACATAAATACACTTACATAATTGGTTGCATTCGGAGGTGATCGTTATGCGGGGGTCCACTGTATATATTTTTTTAAATGTGAATGTATTAAGTTGCTAAACTACAGTACTGTTCTTTAGTGAAAGTTCTATTATATTCATAAACAGTTTTATTGACTTATTATACAATTATAGGGCGACCCTGGCCTCTCATCTTTGGTCTAGGATTTGGCACAGGTATGGGGTATGCCAATTGTCAACATGATTTCAACGAACCATTCCTAGTAAAAGCAGAAAATGTTATTGTAAGTACTTTAATGTATTGTATTGTAAGTTATGCTTTTATACATTAAACAAATTTAGTTCTTTACCACAAATGTAATAAGGTCTAAAAATCTAAACTACAGTATGCTGTATCACTAGTCTTGTCTACATACAGTATTCAGCTAGGTCTTTTTTGCTGTAACATTTATCGTAAGTGGTATATTATCAGGACATTTTTTACATCATATATTTTGAATGATTTATTATGCACTATTGTATTTGTAACTATTTTTATGTATATATTTTCAGGTGAAGCCCAAATCTACCACTCTTGAGGCTCCTGCTACAGAAGCCCAGTAGTTTAATAATGTAATAAATTTGTATATTATCGCTTAAGTCACTTTTGTATATTGAGGAAGCCTATTTAATGTCCTCTGATTGGAGCTCATGTACAGTACTGTATATGCATTTATTGAGTTATGTACTTACTACAAACTTCATGTTATTTCAATAATGGCTTATACCGATGCATTATGTAAAACTTATCTTTTGTAAATAACATCAATGATATTTAGGCTTTTATTTCCCTAATGTGAAGTCTGAAATTTATAGACACACTTGTACGTATCGCTCATATCTCTTTTCATTACATTAAATGTGCAGTTCATGTGGTTTCTTATTCCTTCATTTCTTTGTTCTTATTCTTGACTTCTTGCTGCATGACATTGCTTCAGGCTGAAAGAGCAAGTCTGTATACCTGCTTTTCTTAAAAATAAAAAAAAAAAGTTATGCAAAATGCTTTTAAGCAAAGGTGGAGTAATACCTGGATAGTGTGTTAATGTTGTCTGATTCTTTTTGACTAGAATAAATGCTTTTAGACTTCTGAAAATGATCTTTGCAGAGAGACTTGGTCCCTCTTTCCCTAAATTGCTAGAGGTTATATGGCTCTAAATTCCATGAATGATACATAATTGTCTGTAATTGTTTTTCATATTTGGGTTCATTTTGTCTATAAATACAAGAATTTTAACTGATTTTGCGGAAAGTTTCATGCATTATACAGTGCTATAAGATGATCGTGACTACAAAATGTTATTCCCATTAAGTAATATATTTTTGAAATTTTGTTTTTAAAATTATTTTGTATCATAACTTGTGTGCATTTTGGTAGAAAACAACTACAGCTCAACCTCTATTATCAAGGTGTGACACAAAACATATGGCGAGTAAGGATTAAACCGAGTTCAGTCCCCACCCATGGTATGGTTTGTTTGCAATTGTGTCATTACGATTTTGTGTGTCGAATAAGAATTCTTATGCTAACAGTGTGTATGTTGTAATAATCTTGGTAGAATTAATGACAATGTGATGGGTAAAAGGACACAAGTGCAACTAATGTGACATTTTATTGTGGCAACATTTCGCTCTCCAGGAGCTTTATCAACGGTTTAACAAAGCTCCGGGAGAGCAAAATATTGCCACAATAAAATGTCACATTAGTTGCACCTGTGTCCTTTTACCTAACAGTGTGCATGTTCAGTTTTGATGTAAAATTAAAATGCTTAATTTTTGTTAAATAATACTAAAAAAAATACTAACCAAAGTTAGGCTGACCATGGAAAATATTAGGCTATACTGTATATTATTATATGTGAATTTTTACAAGGTTATGCTCCTAAGGCTTAGTACAAAAATTAGAAATTTATGTACAATATTTATTCATTCTCCATGGGGAAGTGGAACAGAAATCTTCATGCGTGTCACAAGAGGCAACTAAAATGCTGGGAGCAAGGGGCTAGTAACCCCTCCTGAATAAATTACTAAATTTAAAAAGAAAAACTTTTGTTTTATTTTTTAATTTAGTAATTTAATGAAGCAGTGACCCACAAAGTAAAAACTTTCATTTTTCTTTTTGGGTCACTCTGCTTCAGTGGAATACAGCCGGTTTGTTGAAAGAATATATGTGTATATCAATTCGAAATGTAAAAATTTGCATTAACCCTTTGACTGTTTTGGTCGTATCTACACGTCTTACGAGGCAGTGTTTTGGACATATATATATTTGGTAATTCTAGCGGCTTCAAATCAAGCAGGAGAAAGCTGGTAGGCCCACATGTGAGAGAATGGGTCTGTGTAGTCAGTGTGCACCACATAAAAAAAAATCCTGCACCATGCAGTGCATTTTTTTTTTTTTTTTTTTTTTTCAACAAGTCGGCCGTCTCCCACCGAGGCAGGGTGACCCAAAAAAGAAAGAAAATCCCCAAAAAGAAAATACTTTCATCATCATTCAACACTTTCACCACACTCGCACATTATCACTGTTTTTGCAGAGGTGCTCAGAATACAACAGTCTAGAAGCATACACATATGAAGATACACAACATATCCCTCCAAACTGCCAATATCCCAAAACCCCTCCTTTAAAGTGCAGGCATTGTACTTCCCATTTCCAGGACTCAAGTCCGACTATATGAAAATAACCGGTTTCCCTGAATCCCTTCACTAAATATTACCTGCTCACATTTACCAACAATCGTCAGGTCCCAGTACCATTCGTCTCCATTCACTCCTATTCTAACACGCTCACGCCACGCTTGCTGGAAGTCCAAGCCCTTGCCCACAAAACCTCCTTTACCCCCTCTCTCCAACCCTTGTCGAGGACGACCCCTACCCCGCCTTTCCTTCCCCTATAGATTTATATGCTTTCCATGTCATTCTACTTGATCCATTCTCTCTAAAGACCAAACCACCTCAACAACCCCTCTTCTGCCCTCTGACTAATACTTTTTATTAACTCACACTTCTCCTAATTTCCACACTCCGAATTTTCTGTAAAATATTTACACCACACATTGCCCTTAAACAGGACATCTCCACTGCCTCCAACCGTCTCCTCGCTACTGCATTTACCACCCAAGCTTCACACCCATATAAGAGTGTTGGTACTACTATACTTTCATACATTCCCTTCTTTGCCTCCATAGATAACGTTTTTTGACTCCACATATACCTCAAAGCACCACTCACCTTTTTTCCCTCATCAATTCTATGATTAACCTCATCCTTCATAAATCCATCCGCCGACACGTCAACTCCCAAGTATCTGAAAACATTCACTTCTTCCATACTCCTCCTCCCCAATTTGATATCCAATTTTTCTTTATCTAAATCATTTGACATAATGAGAAAAAAAAACTGACCGTTTTTTTTTTTATTAAAACGCCGACTTTGAGGTGTATTTTTGTATAGTATTTATCGTTGTATTCTCGTTTTCATGGTCTCGCATGATAAAATGGAAAACATATTGCAGAAATAGAGATGATTTTGATTAGTTTCACAATGAAAACGACCTTGAAATTGAGCTCACAGTAGCGGAAATGTTCGATTTTTACTAATGTTTAAGAATAAACTCTCCTTCTCGAGCATTTTCTATCCCAGACTTTGCCTTTCTTGTTTCATCCTTACCACCACCACTTCTGTTACTTGGTGATTTTAATGCCCACCATTTCCTCTGGGGGGGGGTCTCATTGTGACTCACGTGGCATTCAGTTGGAGGCTTTTCTTGCCTCTCACCCCCTCCATGTTTTAAATACGGGTACTCCCACCCATTTTGATCCTCGTACTCATACTCTCTCTTGCATCGATCTATCAGTCTGCTCTTCCTCCACTGCACTAGACTTCACCTGGTTCGGTTCTACCAGACCTTACATGACAGCGATCATTTTCCGATCATTCTTACTTCTCCTTCCTATTCACCACCTTTCCGTAGCCCTCGCTGCAATTTGATCGGGCAAATTGGATCTTTACTCACACCTCACTGCTTTTAGTGAGGTTCCTTCTTCATCCTCCATTGATGAGCTCCTACACATCTTCTCGACATCAGTTTTATACCGCAGCTTCTCATTCTATACCCCAAACCTCAGGCAGGCATTCTCAGAAGGCGTGCCTTGGTGGTCTCCTGCTTGTGCTCGTGCAGTACGTTTGAAACGTGCTGCATGGGGCAGGTACCGGTACAATAGAACCGCTGAGAGACTTGTTGATTTTAAGCAGAAGCGTGCGATCGCTCGCCGTGTCATCCGTGAAGCTAAACGCACTTGTTGGCGAGACTATGTTTCCACCATCACCTCTGCTTCTCTATGAGTGCAGTCGGGAAAAAAAGTGAGGAAATTGAGTGGTAAATACTCTCCTGACCCGGCCCTGTTCTACGGGTCACTGGTGTTGATATAGCAAACCCTCTCGACGTTGCCATTGAACTTGGCACACATCTGGTCCGTATTTCCCGAGGGCTCCATCTATGCCCCTCGTTTCTTTCCTCAAAGTCTGCCAGAGAGTTAGTACCCTTGGACTTTTCTTCTCTCGAGAAGAACAGTATAATGTGCCTTTTACCTTCAAGAACTGGAGGAAACGCTCTGGCTTGCCGATCATCGGCAGCTGGGCCTGATGACATTCATATTCGTATGTTTACAACATTTACATCGGTCAGCCCTGTAGTCCTCTTACAACCTCTCAATCTTATTGGGCACAGGAGTTCTTCCCCAGCTGTGGAAATCTGCCATTGTTCTCCCTTTCCGCAAACCGGTTCTACAGGACATTGCCTCCCACTATCGCCCCATCGCTCTTCAAGTGCAGTTTGCAAAGTGATGGAACGCCTCGTAAATCGACGTTTAATGTGGTATTTTAGAGACTCACAACAGTTCTCTCCACTAGTCAATATGGCTTTCGTAAGGGTCGTTCTACCATAGACCCCTTACTTAACGCTTGATACGTAGTTCGTAATGCCTTTGCGAATAATCACTCAGTTATTGCAATATTTTTTGACCTTGAGAAGGCATATGACACAACTTGGAGTATAATATTTTGGCCCAGGCCCATTCCTTAGGCCTCCGAGGCATATCTACCATCCTTCCTTAAGAACTTTTTAAACTGACAGACATTTCCGTGTTCGAGTCAATAATGTTCTTTCCCCGGACTCGTCCAAGCTGAGGGTGTCCCTCAGGGATGTGTTCTAAGCACAACACTTTTTCTCCTTGCTATAAAAGATTATGGCCTCTGTTCTTCCACCCAATATTGGTCATCACTCTATGTTGATGACTTCGCTATTGCTTGTGCAGGCGCTGACTGTCACCTTATTGCAGTTTCTCTCCAGCATGCGTCGACCGTGTTTCCACTTGGCCACCACACATGGTTTAAATTTTCAAGTACCAAAACTCACCAAATTACTTTCACTAGACGCTCTGTTATCTCCGATCACCTTTGATCTCTATGCTCCCGTATCCCCGAACGTGATACAGTCAGGTTTCTAGGCCTTCTCTTTGACCGTCGGTTTAACTGAAACCTCACATTACCTCTCTGAAGGCAACTGTCACAGCGGCTAACCTTCTTAAAACCCTTGCTCATCTTTCCTGGGGAGCTGATCGTCGAACTCTGCTTCGCCTACATTCAGCCCTCGTTTTAATCGAAACTCGATTATGTGACCAGATTTATTCCGCGGCCTCTCCTGCTACTCTCTCTAGCCTTAACTCATCCATCACCAAGGCTTACGTTTGTGCCTTGGTGCTTTTTCGCTCTTTCCCCTGTTGAGAGCCTCTATACAGAAGCAAATGTTCCATCCTTGTCTGATCGCCGTGATGCCCATTGCCTTCGTTACTATGTACGCTCTCACGATCTACACAATCCTTCCATTATAGAATGGTCACCGATATTAGTAGACATTCTTTATTCGTTGCGCCGCCCCTGTTTGCTCCGTCCCTTTTCTCTTCGCCTACATTCACTCTTGTCTTCCCTTCAGTTACCACACTTTATATGTTCATGTAGCATCTCACTTTTCCCTACCCCCCCGGGAAGTTCCAGCTGTTCGGGTCGTTCTTTCTCACTCCCTTGCTCTGAAAGCTCAACTGCCTACGGTGGCTTCCCGCTCTCTTTTTCTTGATCACTTCCACTCCCATTCTCATGCCACCGCTGTGTACACAGATGGCTCTAAGTCTTCAGACGGCGTCGGATTCGCAGCAGTGTTTCCGGACAGCGTCGTACGAGGGCATTTACTATCTTCAGCTAGCATTTTTTACTGCTGAACTGTATGCCATTCTTGCAGCACTTATTCGTATCGCATCTATGCCTTGTCATCATTTGTAGTAGTCTCAGACTCCCTTAGTGCTCTACAGGCTATACGAAAATTTGATACATCTCATCCCCTAGTTTCTCCGTATCCAACTTTGGCTACGCCGTATCTCTACCAAACATAAAGATATTGTTTTTTGTTGGGTCCCTGGTCATGTCGACGTACAGGGCAATGAACAGGCAGACACTGCTGCGCGGTCAGCAGTATATGACCTACCAATTTCCTATCGAGGTGTTCCATTTCTGGACTATTTTGCTGCAATAGCTACCCACCTTCGCACCCGTTGGCACAACGTTGGTCAACTCTGCTCGGTAACAAACTTCATTCTATTAAAACCGAGCATAGGTTACTGGCCGTCTTTCTTGTCATCAGTGCCGAAGTTGGGAGACCACTCTCTCCCGCCTTCGCATTGGCCACACTCGTCTTACTCATGGGTATCTCATGGAGGAGCACCCTGTTCCTCTCTGTGAGCAGTGTCAAGTTCCAGTATCGATTAGCCACATTCTGTTAGACTGCCCTCTCTATCAACGAGCACGCAGAATTTACCTCCAACGTCGTCTTCGTTCTACTACTCTCTCTTTACCTTCCCTTCTTGCTGATGGACCCTCCTTTAATCCTGACTCTCTCATTGACTTCTTGACAACGACTGATTTACTCCACAAACTCTGATGATACTTTTCGCACTCCCCTCAGCCCTTTCTGGTTCAGTCTCTTGCTGCCC